GTCTTCTGAGTTTGTTTCTGAATAACAAACTTCTGAATAATAAAGTTGAATATTGGTAGTCATAGCTCAGAATCGGGTTGGCTGTTTAACGCCGGTTATATATAAAAAAAAGAAAATTCCTTTGATGAGGATTTAGTTACCTGGATTTTTTATTCGGTCCGCGTTTGATACATTCACCGATTGCTGCGTCACAGGTTTAACGCCTGCTTCACCGCGGGCGGTCCCACTTTTGTGTAGTTTCAGTAATTTTTCCGCACATGCTAACAATAAAATTAATGTAGTACTTCCTCTATCCGTTTGGTGACAGTCTTTTATGTGACAGTAGCGTAGCGGATACCCCCTATAGTAGTTCACCGCTTGATCACAGCCCATGTATCGTCTGGCAAAAAGTGCTTGTTGGATGTTTTTTTTAAATTTTTTTATCTCCCTTTAATTTTTCCCCATGAGTTTCGAAATGCCCTACTTTCAGGGTGTGCCGGATAGACAGTACTTACATGTTAATTTCATTTTTCTTATACAAGGGAAAGACTTTGCAATTTATAATTTTTCTCGAAGTTCAATTTTTAATCCTGTAAAACTATTTTGAATCTGGACTACTTAATGCGTGCGAAGTGAAGAGGAAAAAGTACTTTTAGTGAACGAAGAAATATATAGATATATAAAATACAACATTCTCATTAGTTTGGAATTTCAACCTTTATTGACAAAATGAGATAAAGCGATTTTTAAACTTGCTCTTTAATATTTCTATTTCCATGGACTACTCCTATTCCTCGTCCCGCAGTGGACTGATCGTTAAGACACGGTTCCCAGCAGATCACCGAAGTCAAGCATCACTGGCTACGGTCAGTGTGCGGGTGGGTGACCACTTGGATCAGTCTGCGTAGGGACCGAGGGTGTGCGGTATTGGTCCTCGTTAAACTGTGCTACCGTAAAGTGCTCGACTTCGCGCGCAGGTCGTCGGTTTACCGAAGCGGGGGTGCCATCCCCTCTGCAGAGGATCAAAATTGTGATGGCATGTCTTCGGATCATCCTCAGGGATGTTTCCCAGACCATCGCCAATAGCCCATTGTGCAGCTCTTGTGCGACGTAAATCAACAACAACAACCTATTCCTCAGTTCTCATAAATTAACAATTGATAATTTCTTATGAATGTTATTGCAATTTGTGCAAAGCAAGCTGTGCAAAACAAAATGTAACTTAATAAAGAAAACACGCAAAATAAAAAAAGATTATAGTACTTTCGATAATTAATTGGAGAATTATTAACAGTTAAACTCTTAGTAAAAAATACCATGCGATCTATGCTGTTACTAATGCCACTTTTATATTTTATTTTATAACCGTCGTTGAACAGCCGACGCAGTTTTTGGATTTACGACTACTAATGTTCAAGTCCGTATTCTTGTATTGTTTAACCAATCCAGAAGACACGGAAATTTCTGGATCAGTATTCCCAGAGGAATGATTTTTTATGGGAACACGGAGGACTTTGTAACTCGACATATTTAAAGTGCATCAATCGCCATTTACTTCACGGCGAGTCTTCGGCCTGCGGGGACCGAACCCATGACCTCTTGGACATAAGCCCTGTGCCCAACCAACCAGGCTATCCCGGTCCTACTAATGAAACCTGCTAATATCAGAAAGCCTGCTTGGTGAAACCTAGCGAATTTAAGGCAGAGGGAACATTTCTGGTCAAGAATACGACTTCAGTCACACATTCGTCACAGTTTGTTTATCGGGCTGACCCATCCATATATTCATTCATTCATCCACAGATCGTAATTTTGAGCTGAACCAAAGAACGACCAATCTTCAATTCACCACCAGTAAAGGTATAATTTGTTATGGGAACAATGGAGGACTTGTGACCCGACAGATTTGATGTGCACTAGTCACCATTTGCTACATGGGGATTCTTCAGCTGGCGAAGATCGAACTCACGACCTCTGGGACATGGGCCCAACGCTTTACCAACCATGCTATCCCGGCCTTTGCGATCTACATAACGATGAGTTCGATTGTAGTTTCAGAAGTTTTGTACTATGTTTTATCTGATAATTAAAGTTTAATACTTTAACATAATATTCGTGTATTACTTGTGCAAAAATATTTAAAGTTTCAAAATAATTTATTTCTTTATTTTTTCACATAATCATGAGCTCATTACAAGCACGACTTATAAGATCATGTGAAGTTGAAAAACAGATAACACAAATTAGGGAAGGACCTCCCAAAGACTGCTGCGGAATTCGAACGCATTATCTCCACTCTACAGAGCGTTTTCTAATCAACGAAACCACTCAGTCAGAGTGGCCCCATCAATCTATTGAAAATGAGAACAATGAGTTAATTAGAAGAATTGAAAATGCATTTAAAGTATGCTCTTTATTCTTATCATTACTAACAAGCTTATTGAGGGACACCGTAGCCAGTCTTGCCGTTCCGGCGAATGCTCTGTAGCCTGGAGGTAGGGGGTCCGAATCCCTCCGTTACCTTGCCTGTATCTTTGTGCTGTTTTTCCTTATATTGTGCTATTTGTTCTTTAATTTGATATGGGTTTATGAGCTGTTCTTTGTATTGAGCACTCAAGCATAAATATGTATGTGTGACAATAAATTTATACAAGAAACGGTTCATACCTGCTTCTTAATTTGCAAAACAGTGAGTGAAAAATATAAATGGACATTACAGAGAGAGTTACATTGTTACATTCAGGGTTACAACTGAAAACAAACTTAGTACTTCTAAGTTTTAGATTGTTTGTTGTAATAACAATATTTTCCAGCTTAAGAACTTTGTAAATAAGAAGTTTTTTCAATCTTTATTATCTTTTTCACAGCGCGTATGTTGCTTCCAAGTTAACAATTAATTCTTCCTAAATATCCAAGGATACAAAATACAAACACTAGACTTTTTTACAAGGTTTGTATTAAATGTACTGAATGCAAGAAAATAACACATGAGTGAATTTATTTTTGAATTCATAAGGAACAAATAAATCTTCGGAGTAATTTATCTGGACAATACGTCCTGCAGTGGACTGATCGTTAAGACACGGTTCCCAGCAGATCATCGAAGTTAAGCATCACTGACTGCAGTCAGTAAGCGGGTGGGTGACCACTTGGATCAGTCTGCGTAGGGACCGAGGGTGTGCGGTATTGGTCCTCGTTAAACTGTGCTACCGTAAAGTGCTCGACTTCGCGCGCAGGTCGTCGGGCTACCGAAGCGGGGGTGCCATCCCCTCCGCAGAGGATCAAAATTGTGATGGCATGTCTTCGGATCATCCTCAGGGATGTTTCCCAGACCGTCGCCAATAGCCCATTGTGCAGCTCTAGTGCGACGCAAATTAGCAACAACAACGTCCTGCAGTGGACTGATCGTAAAGTCACGGTTCCCAGTAGAACACCGAAGTCAAGCATCACTGACTGCAGTCAGTAAGCGGGTGGGTGACCACTTTGATCAGCCAGCGTACGGACCTAGGGTGTGCGGTATCGGTCCTTGTTAAACTGTTCTACCGTAAAGTGCTGGACTTCGCGCGCAGGTCGTTGGGCTGATCAAAGTGTTCAACCACCCGCACACTGAGCGCTGACTGAGTTGACTTCAGTGACAGTTCATGGGAGCTGTGTCTTAACGATCAGTCCACTGCAGGACCGTTTAATATGGCCTAAATGTTTATTCGTATTGAGTACACAATACTGTATTTATTTATTGTTACACATATGTTTGCAGCCTTTTGTGCGGTTATTACAATTATGGGTTATTGTCCCTTATTAAGTTGAGAAACACATAACACAAATTAAAGGACATGGCATTAATACATCCAAAGTTAAGCAAGGATTCGAACCCGCTACCTCCATACTACAGAACGTTTGATAGATCGGCGAGACGACAGAGCCAGGGAGATTTCCTGCAACTATGTAAGAATATATTCTAATACTAAAAATCGAGCGTTTGTTTTCTATTCCTTTGTTTGAGTTAAGATAATTCAGTGACTTCGGGTTATGAACTCCTGATTTTCTTTAGAACCTACCAAAGTAACCAGTCTCTAGGCTACTAGATATGTTTGAAATAATAGAATTCAGCCTTTTAAGTTGTAGTATTATTTTATATCCGTCGTTGAACAGCTGACCCAATTTTTGGGTTTACGATTACTAATGTTCAACTCCGTAGCCTTGTAATTTTAAACCAATCCAGAAGACAAAGAAACTCCTGGATCAGTACCCCCAGAGGTATTGATTTGTAATAGGAACATGGAGGACTTGACGACTCAACAGATTTAACGTGCATCAGTCACCATTTACTTTACGGGGAGTCTTCGGACCCAGGAACTGTTGGACATGGGTCCAGTGCCCTACCAACCAGGCTATCCCGGCCCTTAAGTTGTAGTATTAGTAGTTTATTTTCATCGCTCTAGAGCTTCACAATGGGCTATTGGCGACGGTCTTACAAACATTGCTGAAAATAATCCGAAGACACGCCATCACAATTTTCATCCTTTGGAGAGGGAAAAGCACCCCCGCTTTGGTAGCCTGACTACTTGGGAGCGAAGTTCACCACTTTACAGTAGAACAGTTTAACGAGGACCTGTACCGCTCACCCTCAGTCCCTACGCAGGTTGATCAAAATGGTCACCCACCCGCTTACTGACAGCAGCCAGTGATGAACGATCAGTCCATTGCGGGACCAAGTTTTAATACGAAGTTGAATAAAATATCTTAATAATGTCACTAAAATACAAATTTATATAAATTTAAGGAATAAAATATTGTACTAAATTATATTACCTAATAATGATTTATTTTAAGTTCAACGAACAGAGAAAGCTTATTCAAATGTAATTTCCGTGTTTGTTTATTTATTTATTTACTTTTACACATGCATAGGTTTGTAAATTGTATTTTCCGTGTCATACTTAGACATTATTGCACTCTTTTGTTGCTTTCAATTTTACTCTGTTTTCACCTGTTCTAACACAAATACAAAAGGTAAAGAGCTCAATTTCTTGTAAAATAGATCGCGGCTGTAATTTACAACTTATTTAGATCAGAGAGGATGGCATCAGCTTTTTTCTTTCAAGGGAAAAATAACTTTTGCCTTCATTAAATGGAATGAAAGTTAGAATTTTTGAGAACTTTCTGTAATTGTGTTCACAATGGTAAGTATAATATTTCATAAAACATAGAGTATTCGAAATTGGTTTGATGTTTTTGCCTACCAATATATTTTTTGTATTTTATATAAAGTATAAAAATTGCACAGCGTATTTCTGGATTTTTAATATCTTTGTTGGTAAACTTCGGTTTTAACATTTATTGTTTTAAAATTGCCAGTGATATTTGTGCTTTTAATTCTGTGAAATATATTGAATTTAAGAACTCTATATTTAGAAATTGTGAATGTTGAATTCCATCGACAACAATTTTTTCTTTTGAATATAAATTTTAGATTTTGTTAAAAATTAGTATTTTATTTTTCCAGGCTCTTTTATGATACTTTTTAATTTTTCAAATTGATTAGAGTAATTAATCGTTTTTTATCTTATCAGAAATCATTGAAAATAAAAAACTCAACAGAAAATTCTTGGAAAAATTTAGGTATTCGTAAAAGTTTTTAATATTTTAAATACAGAAGGTTTTACTAAAAACTATATACTAAAGTTTTAGAGACTAATTAAAAAGATAAAACACTGATTTTAGAGATTCCTGAGCAAGCTCTTAATTTTTATTGTTTTAACTTTGAGTAAATTTTACTAAATATCGCAGAAAAATGTTTTAGCACTCTTAGTATAGAATAATACCCTGTATATACGTCGCTCATCGGCTGCAATAGCGGCCCAACTAAAAAAAAAAAAAAAAAAAAAAAAAAAAAAAAAAAAAANAAAGAAAAAAAAAATCATGTTTTGAGATAAGTGGGTTTAACGTTTTCATTGCTAAGGTAAATGCATAGAAAATGCTTTAGTTTGCTTAAACGAAGATTAGTTCAAAACGCGTGTTTTTTCCAGTTGTGCCACTATTGCAGCCTATGAGCGAAGTGGTCATTATACGCTTTAATTGAAACTGAAAACTTAAAAAAAAAAAAAAAAATGGAAACAAGATCCCTTAGATGGCATTGAACATTCGAACTATTTCAATAAATGATTCAAATCGTCTGAACTAAAAAAAAGTAAAGATTTTAATTGAAATATATACATGTCATTGTATTTATTTTTTGTTTATTAAAAAAGCTATTTATCATTTTCAAACTGAAGTAATTCAAATTCAGGTTAACTTTTCGGCCTGTGTCAAAATTTAGTGCAAATTGTCTACCAAATCAATAAAAATACATTGCATAAAAACTCATTACTTTGTTACTTTTTATTGGAATAATATAACAGAAATTCAATAAAGAGATTTGAATTTGAACACGTAGCTTATTTTGACGAAAGTTAAACTACTACAATAGGATTACTAAAAAAAAGTAAACTCCTCTGTTGATATATGAAAGCTATCGTATGTTTTACTATATTATGTTGCTTGCATTCCCACAAGGATTCTCTTCAATATGCATTTTCAGAATACTTGTCAAAAGTGAAAACAAAAAGATGGGCTTGCAAATTAAACTTAAAATTTCATCGAAAGCTGACAAATCACAGTGGAGGAAGGCAAGCGTAATAAACATCTAAGAAGGAGTCTGGGTGTTTCAGGTGATGAAGCATTCACCTTCCAATCAGGTGACCCAGGTTCGAATCCCAGTGGTGACTTCACGATATGAATTCTGCATCCGCCCCTGCATGCACAAACCACAGTGCTGACGTAACATATCCTCAGTGGCAGATGGATCATGGGTTAGTCACCTTGCCGTCAGGCTAACTTTGGATAACCGTCGCCAATAGCCCATTGTGTAGCTCTAGTGCGACGTAAATGAACAACGACTACTAATACCAACCTCTCGAAAACTTATTTTTCTCAATTAGAAAATATTTAAGCCAAATCGAGAACAAATTGTTTTACATCAATAGTCTTAGTCTTGAGGAACTTGTAGTTAATTTTAGCTTTCTTGTAGTAAAAAAAAAGGCGCCTGACATTTCTTACAGTTTAAAGGGTTAATGAAAACAATCACGGTTTTCAAAACATAGTTAAATCACATATTTAAACAACTGATACCGGATTTAAATATAAAATTTAATTTTAATTTCAGAGTTTACACTTGACTTCACACTTGTATATTTCAATGTTAAATTTCAATGCAAAATTTAAATTTCACTGTAAAATTTCAATTTCAGTGTAAAATTTCATTTTCAACGTAAAATTTCAATTTCAATGTAAAATTTCATTTTCAATTTCAATATTAAAATCGTTACTTAGAAATTAGGCTAAATTCTTTATTGAAATAATTTTATTCTTGTTATAATTTTAATTTTAATGCCGTTTGCCAATACTCCAATACTATCAAGCAAGCTATGAAAACTTAAAGAAAACGCACCCTCTGACTTAAAAATCACTTAAGTGGCGCCTTCTATGGCCAAGAATGCGACTTCAACGACACACACATCACAGCCTGTTTTACTGGGCAGTCCCAGCTGTGCTCTATAGATTCATAGATCGTAATTTGACCAGAACCAGAAAATGATCAATTTCCAATTCATTATTACCCCCAGAGGTTTTGATTTGTTATGGAAACTTGGAAGATTTTGTTACCCCGACAGATTTAACGTGCACCAGTCACCATTTAATACATGGGGATTCTTTAGTCTGTGGAATTCGAACTCACGAACACGAGCTCAAAATTTTTACTGTCTAGAAATATTTTTCATTAAAGAAGATGCTATACAGTGGGAGCATAGCTGACAAAACGGAATCTCTAGCTCTCGACCTTTATTTTAAATGGTAGTTAAATAATAAGCAAGCACAGGTTTTTAAAATTTCCCTATCATCTAAAGAAAATATTGTTTGTTTTTCCAACATTTCATGTATAGCTTTTAATTATTTATATATTGTGGTGATCAAAATATTTTTATATGAAATATTGAAATTAAAATTCTGATACCACTTTAAAATTCTGACTTTCCGAAAAAAATTTCGACTAAAAACCGGAAAAGTTGCCCTGAATAATCTCTGCTCTTATGTTCGGATCTTCACGTTCTAGGTCTAAATCTTAATAGTTCGAGGAGGTGACTTCAAATATGCCAATTATTTAGTGCAGACGATGTTTCAAGTTACGAAATCAGACAAAAGAATGTACTTTCCCTGAAAAAAGACCCCCCCCCCCCNCCCCCCCCCCCCGCCGAATTCGGATTTAAAGTTTTTAAAATTTGATTTCTCAGGATCTATTCGATCGATTTTGCTTAAACTTCGTATTTTGCTCTGTAAAATTGCATTTCTTAAAATTATGTAAGAAAATGTGTACTTTTAAAATTCAAACTTTTTTTTATAAAACGAAACGTGACGATCCGATCTTTAGATCAAAAGTTACTCAGGATGTTCTGTTTATTTTTTCGCACAGTGCATGCAAATCAAGTGTAAACCATGAAGTTTCAAACGCTGAAAATGATTTTTCAAAATATGAAAATTATGGCGGGGTTACTTTCAGAGTAATTCTGTCATAACTTGTTTACATTTTGATAATTCGAAAAATTAAAGCAGCATTACTGTACTCACCTAGTATTGTTTTTGCTGTTCTTGCCTTATCTGTACTCACTATTTTCTCTCCTTTAAATTTTAAAATTACAATGGATTAGTTGTACAGCGTTCTTGATTTATTTTATTAGGAATCAAGCATGTTCCAAGGAATTTCGGGCACATACCGAAACATAAACTTTATGTTTAATGAAAAATGTGTTTTTATCACTGGAGCAACAGGATTCTTAGGCAAGGTAAGCATGAAAACTTTCTTGGTCTGTATCAACTTCATTACCTTGGTCCACACATGTGGACCTTCGCTTCTAAAAAACACGCTGTAAGAAAATTTGATTTTTCTCCTCGCTTAAACATTCGTGCACGTTTAAGCTTTCTGGTGATTCTAATAAATGTAGAACATGTAAGTTATTTGGATAGAATTCCACATAAACGCAAGTGATTTTCGAAAAAGGAAAAATCCACGTGCTCGAAAATGTAAGTAACTTTAAATATTTTTGTTCCATTGCCCACCGGATTGACTGACACTCGTCATTCAGGTGTCAGTAGGGCAGATTTGTTGGCCACTTTTTCATGGTCACCATATTAGGTGGGCCAACGTTGCTCCAACAGTAAGGACAGATAGTACATAGAATAAAAAAACGTCCAAGCCTTGTCCGGGATTCGAGCCCAGGACCTTTCTTATGTGAAGTCAGCCCCCTGATCACTACACATTCCGATCGGCAATTTTGAATATTATATAATTTTGTTATTCTGAAAGTAATATTTTTTCTTTCGACTTAGTAGTTCGAAGCGTTTAAATTTATATTTACTTAATATTGAAAAATAATACAGTCAAGAACATGCAGGTTCATGCATGCGAAATTTATGACAGCGTAGTAAGTCAAGTGAAATACTGTAATATTATGAAAATTTAATTTCAGATCTATTTAGTAATATTTTTTTGTGTAATTTAATTAACTGTTTTATTTAGAAAATTTAGTAAATTAAACTTTTTGTATTTTTTTCCTTTATAATTCTGAAATTTTACCTCCCGGTATTAAATATTTTTATACTTAATGCTGGATTCTTTACAATAATTATTTATTTTGTATGTTTTGCATAATTAGAATGGTTTTGAAACTGAGATTTAATGCAGTATACTGCATTGTACTTAAATAAAACTTCGTATTTTTAAATTTTTTTCTTCTAAATTATTAAATCAGCTCATCATTGCATTTAAATAGACCATAATATAACAATATGCATGTTTTGCTCCTACTTTAAGTGCAATTCAACATTTGAAATATTTATATCCTTTTACTTGGGTAAAACCTGAGGTTCACGTATTTGTACCCAAATTTATTAACCCCCATGGCAGCATAATTCATATTTTATTTATCTTACGACTTACGGCACTAAGATAGAAATTCGGAACTGTAAAATATTTTTTGCTACAATCCTTTATACTTCACTAGTGAAGAGGTTATATTTAATCTTAACCAACCTCTTAATCTTAAATAACTTTTGCTTTTGTTTAAACTAGGTAAACAAAGCAAAGGACCGTTAACAAATGATGTTTTTCAATGTTTTTGATCCTTACTCCCCATTGTCATACTTCACCATTGTCACATGTCACGTTATTAAACATAAAACATATAATTGCAATTCAGAAACAAAAAATCTACTGTAGAACATGTTTTAAATTTTTATCTTTAAGATTAAACTACTTTGTTTCAATGATATTTGTAAGCGTAAGAATAATAATTATTAAATGTGAACTCATTTTCACGAAAAAATTATTTTTCTGATTTTAAATGTTTTTTATTGTAAGAAAAATGGAATGTCAAACTTGTTACCTCGATCCTCGCTTTTCCTCGACACAAACCGTCACAAAATCACACACCTCTCTCAAGCGTCACATTTACGAACGATATCTTGAAGTAATTTTGCTTTGAATGCGTTTTCAGTTATATAAAAATGGTATCAGAAATTCATTATTTTAATCTTATTATTCTGTTTAAATGCAAGTAATACAGATATGCTTCCTCACCTTGATTATCGAAACGTTTTAATACATTGCAAGATCTATTAAACTGGATTTTAAGTTCATCTTCAAAATTTGCAAAATAAGTTGCAGTATACATCAGGGTGTTACATAAAGACCGAACTTAATGTGTGTTTTAGAATCTTTATCAGAAAAAAATATGCACATAGGGAGTCGTAAATTCATAGTTTACCCGACGGGGAAACAAAAATCTATATTTCATGATTTATAGTAGAGAAAGTCATGGAACAGAGAAACAGGTTTGATTGGAAGTTGAAATTTAAATTGTCTCCTCAGTATACTCGAGCAATTATATCTGTCTTGTTTAATACTGCCGTATTTGACAGATTTCGTAAATGTATTTGTTTTTTGTTTCGGTTAAATATTAATTTGCCACCCCCATTGTGCAAAATTTTTGATTTTATTTTTCATAAGGACTCTAAAAATACATATTAAGGACGGCATATGTGGAACACCCTGTGCACAGGGTGTTCAGTATAGGCCGTCTAAAAGAAAATTTGTCTATATATTCGTATAAAAGAAAAAATTTGTCCGGATGTACTTATGCGTTTAAAAAATATTTGTATTCAGAAATCAATTCGAATAATCGTTTTTTTTTTCTTCTTGCATCCATCTTGTTAAATTTTTAATAGCTTTAAGCAATTATCTACGTAAATGAACATTTAATTGCTATTTCAGGTTCTCTTAGAAAAGTTAATTCGGTCATGCCCGACTCTTTCCAAAGTGCTTGTTCTGATACGGCGCAATGAAAAGTATACATCCGAAGAACGACTTCAAAAGTTGTTTGAAAGTAATGTAAGTGTATTCGACTTTTCATAACTGTATTATATTTGGAAATACAATAAGGGTCTCAATGTTACGCGATTTCCAAACTATTCACACTCTCAACCTATTTCTAATCTTGCTTTGTTTCTCCACCAGAACCATTCAATAGATAGTTAGAATATGTTATAGTTGGAATAGTGGCTGAGGAGATAGAAAGTTCGCTTTTCACTGAGATTCCCGGGTTCGAATCTCAGCGATGGCTGATCGATAGATTTACGCACCTGGCTCGCACCGTCCAGAGTGCTGACGTGAAAGATCCTCAGTGGTAGACGAATCATGGGTTAGTCCCCTTGACGTTAAACTAACCGTTGGGAGGTTTCGTGGTTTTCATCTACATATAACGCAAATGCGAGGTATTTCCATCAAAAAGTCCTCCATGAAGACGAATTTCTCCTAATACTTAATCCAGGAGTTCTCTTGTCCTCTCGGTTGGGTTCAAAATTGCACGACTACGGAGTTGAACATTGGTATTCGTAACCTTAAAATTGGGTCTGCTGTTCAACGATGGTTATAAAAAAATAGCTGGAATATACTAGTGTGGGGTAAGAGCAAGATTTGTGGAAACCATGGTAACGGTAGAGGGAAATGCGGAGACTGTGGTAATCGCGTCGCCTTGATACGTTTTTTTATTTTATTTGCAAAGAGTATCAAAATGCAGCGGTGTTCAAACCTGTTACTGATGCAAACTGTTACTGATGCAAAAATTCTGAAATATCAATGATCATTTAGAAAAATGTTAAACTTCCAATTGCAGCTATTTTGTAAAATAGAATGACCCTTTTATGTCACCGGTTTGGTATTTATCCTGTTTTTTGATCACGTTCCAACTTTGATTGTTGAATAAGCTATTTTGTAAAACAGGATGACCCTTTTATGTCAATGATTTGGTATTTATCCTGTTTTTTGATCACGTTCCAACTTTGATTGTTGAATAAAGTTACAATTTACGGAAAATCTCTTATTTGTTTAGATGCGTTTTCCGCTCGTGCTATGACACTGGCTATAAAAAAAATATTGGAAGGGAGTCTCATGGTAAAATGAATCTGTTGCAAATAGCCTCGTACAATTTAAATCCGTTAGTGAGTCATGTGGTTATAAAGCCTCGGTATTTAAACCAAACTGAATGTCCGAGTCTTTTCAATCAGACCAAGAAACAAACCCTTCTCCATCAGTTCTTAAAGATTGTAAACATCACGAAAGCTTCTTCAAAAAAGACTTTTGTGTAAAAATATTGGAATTCAAACCTTATTTGTTTTAGAATTGTAAAGAATAAACGGTCTTCAGGTTATGTTGGATTTTCATGACTCCAAAATGCTTTAATGAGTTTTCTTTCAGAAAACATGGGTAACAAAAATCGAGCAGGGCCTGATTATCGCATGGGCAAGAAGGTGTACTTGCCCAGGTCCTCCAAATGAAATATTCCTCTTCTATATTAATGTTTATAGACTTCAATTTCTGGTTTTTGCGACTTTTTTAGTTTTATGCTTAATTTGTGGTTGTGCCATGCTGACTCATTACACAATAATAGTTACGAAAAGGCACTTACAATCTTAATTATTTCTTTTATTTGAATTCAGGTGTTTGACCGAATCAAAAGCGAATGTCCTGATATCGTGAATAAAGTTCATGCCATAGACGGAGATGTAACGGAGGTAGATTTTGCGCTGAATGCAGAGGATAAAAATACACTGCTTTCTGATGTCCATTATGTGTTTCATTGTGCTGCTAGTGTTCGTTTTGAAAATAATTCAAGGTAAGATTTCAAAGTTTATTGCTGAAAACTTTCATAAATTTTTTTTAACATTTTTCGTTCAGAAAAATGCTCATTCTATATTATGACATAGAATAATTATATGATATAAGCAAAGAATTAGTATGTAATATAGAATTATTATATGATATAGAATTATTATATAATATAGAACTCTATATGGTTATGATGCATTTTTCTATTAGAAAAATGCATTGCTTATTTTGTTTCATATATACAGTATTCTGTAAAGACCACAGTTCCAACCTCCATTTGAACATGTCTTGATAGTTTATTACACGCGTTTTCACTTTTCCTTTACAGTAACTGGCCTCTACAGTAACTGGTCAGATTTTTTCCCCCGGTCAAATATTAATATGAGATGTCTATGTATATACTGATTTAATTTTCAACCAGATACTACTAGCAGCTGTTCATTTTTGATAATATGGCAAAAGGCAACAACCATAACTAAATTTAACATTTATTAACCTATAGGGCATGATACTGGATACTTAACAAATGAAAGGAAGCCGTGTGCTTCGTCCGCTTCCAATCACATTCGCTGCGTGGGTAAAATAAGAATGCCCATCTAACCACTATTTAGTTAGAGGGTTAGGAGGTTTGCAATGGCATGCGTGATGAGGTGCGCGATGGTGTGCGTGCGCATGAAGTGAGGAATACGCTTCCTACAGTAATGATTCTAAAAGTACATGTTAAGAGTAGTCTGTACTGAACATTTTGAATAAGTTTTCTATATAAGCACTTTACGCCAATTTTAAAACTTCAGAAGGATCCTTTCTGTCTTTTCTCTACTTCAATGTTATCTCTAGTACTTAAAATAAAGTTAGTTATTAATAAATGAAGCTTAAAAAAATTAATAAAATGGAAGATCTTACTTTTTTGGGATGTAAATTTTTTAATGGGGTAGAAACTAAGAATTTAAGTTGTTAACAAAATATTAATTACCCAAAATCAATATTTCAAAGGCTTATTGCTGCATTTTTCTCATGTAAATTTCTTTGCTTTTCTTATTTTTTGTTTTTCATTTTATTTGTAGGAACACTTTGAAGATAAACTTCCTTGGTGTAAAGAATATGCTAAATCTTTGCCACGAAATGAAAAACCTTTCGGTAATACACGAAATTACTAATTTATTATTTTCTAACAATTGTAAATTAAATCTTACTGTATCTTTTATTTTAAGCGCAACAGCAAGCAATTGAAAAATCTATATATTTTAACCCCTTCTCGACCCAGTTAAAATGACAGGTGAGAGATTCGCACCTTATTTCTCATGCCCGTGATATATCCGGACTGGAGAAATCTAATATAACGCACCAAAAGGTTGCAAAAAAATGTAATTCCTATGCTCGGAATCGTGTTTTCACAATTTATACACCAGATGATAGTACCAGACTATTTGTAATGTGTAAAGAGATGGTTTATTTCAAGCTAGATGCTAATAGTTATCAAACTTGTAAGCTAGAAGATTAGCATGAGAAGATAATTTTTAATCTTAGATTTCTTAGTGTTTTTAAAAAGCTAACTCACTCATTTTTTAAGTCACGCTCATTTACTCATTAAATTTTTTTTAGAATTTTCATAAAAAATGAAAAGAAAGTATAGATAGTATATAGTATTGGTTTGCTTGCAAATAAGTTATAATAGTTATTAAAAACAAAACACTTTCGAAAACTGAGAAATCTTGACTTAGAAACAGATCAGAAATCATAATATAGAACCTCTTTAGCACGGCAGAGGTCGCTGCATATTATTACAGCTACTGCAGATAATTTTTAATCTTTTCTCTGTATTTTTAAAAAGCAAACAAATGGGGGGGGGGGATCACTGGCACTCATTTTTAAAACATCTCTTAACTTGTTTCTAGTTAAAAAAAAAAATAAAATAAAATAAAAAGCTGCGTTGAGAACTTTCAAAGAGCAAAAAAAGAAGGAATTTTTTTCCTCTGCTACCTGATTACAGACTTCACTGTAAAATTTTTTAAATCTTTTTTGCATCATTGAATAAAATTAAACGTAAATTTAAACAATTTAGTTTTTAGGTATGTTTGCTAAAATGTCAGATTAAGCTGAATTTTTACAATAATAATCTGTCTGTGTTGAGGTCTCAAACAAGTATGAACTATGAAGACAGTGCTGCAGATTCATTTCGTAAATTCTGCTACCGGGGGAAGAGTGATAAACATCTAAACAGGTTAGATTGCAGGAGGAGACTGTGCAGTTTTAAGACGCTTAGTAGAAACACTTTAATGTTTTAAAAACCAGTTAAATCCGTTTTGATGTTTTATCCGTTACATCTGCCTTGCTTTACAGTAATTTGTCAAATGTTGAAAATGTTTTTCTCTCAGTATACCTTGTTTTTATTTTCACACCATTAAGAACGGCTTTTACGCGACATCCTGTATAATATCTTTGAAACCGTAGTCTGAAAAAGTCCATTTGAAGTTTAATTTTCTATATTTAAATTTTTGAGCATCTGGATTTTTGTGGTTCTAAAATTAAATTTTTTGCCTTCAAAATGATCAAATGAATTATTGCATCAAAATGTACTAGAATTTGCAATTCTGCCAATTAGTTCGACGATAATTTTCCGAGGTAAGGCTGTCTGGAGACCACAGAATCCACCAATTGGGTACTTGCAAATTTTTTGTTTCTGGTACTTACATGTGGTTGTGCATGGAGTTATAAAGTTTCAGTTTTGAGACTTTAGTTCATTATCACGCTGAATCAATTTCTGGAACAGATTTATTTACATACCTGCAAATGATGTCACGCATGTGTATCGAAATTGATTGGCTGACCCTTGCGTGACGTTGCTTGCAAATACCCTATTACCACAGATCACGCTTATTACACAGTTGGCATAAAAACTCCTACCAAACAGACTTCAGAATTTGCCTCTCGCTAAATTTTATTCTTTGAGTTTGTTGTTATCTATAAACATGCTATTTTTGTGATCTTTATTTTGGTTCCCAAATAGAGACTACAAAAATAGCCTGACGCCCTATGAACATCCAGGTATAGTAGCGAGTGACATAGGTTATTTGCAAAACTCCCTTCATGCTTAAAAAAGCATTTATGTTTCTATTGAGTTAATTACTCAAAAGAATCATCAGTGAAAAGAGCAAATTTCGTAAAATAATACTTTTGAATAATCTGGAAAATTTTGTTGAATAATCTAGTGTTCAAGAGAAATTTCTTTAAATAATCTAGTAATCAAAAGAAATTTCTTTAAATAATCTAGTAATCAAGAGAAATTTCTTTAAATAATCTAGTGTTCAGGAGAAATTTCTTTAAATAATCGAGTGTTCAGGAGAAATTTCGTTAAATAATCCAGTGTTCGATGCATGAGAGTCGCTGGTTTTTAATTTTTCAGGGTGACGAAATTAAAATATAATATTTCTTTACATTTTACACGTAAGAAAAGTCTTATACCTGTTAAATTCGAAAGATTTTTTTTGTTTGATTTATAAATCTATGATGATTCATGAAAATTTTCTTTATTTGACTGATATATTGAGGGGCATTTTTAGAGACTTCTAATTATTAAGGTGGCCATCCGCAATCCGCAGACGTCCATGGTTCAGAGGAAATTGCACCAAATTCCTTTCCGTTAAGGCAATTGAAAAATTTGATTACAATTTTTGATTTCCTTATCTTTGGTTTTCCTCTACGGCCTCCATTTTTGCCGGAACAACGTAGTGTTCTCTGTCAGTAACAATGTCTTTTTTAATTTGTTGAACCGTATAAAGAATTTGATTTGAATTCTCTGTGAAAAACCTTTTTATAAAAAATCAGTAATTCAATGATTTTAATATTTTTATTAGGCTGTTATCCATGTGTCTACCGCATATAGCTTCTGCAACCAAGGAGTTATTAGTGAACAATTATATGACGAGGAAATCAAAGTTTGTGATCTTGAGAAAACAATAGAGTAAGAGTAATTTTGTTTTTTAAAATTTAATTTTTCTTTATTATTCAATAGTTAACATACTTACATTTCTAGGGAATTTGACGATAAATCATTGGACATGGCATGTCAGAAAATGGCCAAATCTCGGCCTTCTTTGTATCAGTATTCCAAAGCAATGGCTGAAATTTATATTGCTAAAAATTGCGGAGAATTGCCTGTGGTTATAGTTCGTCCATCAATAATAACAGCTGCGGCAAAAGAACCTTTTCCAGTAAGTCTTTTAGAATTTTTTTTCCAACTTATTGGTTATAGGTGCCATGAAGCCAAATTCGCCAACCCTAAGGAATAACGCCATATTCTGGTTTACGCAGGTGACCGGCTACGGATTTGCATTTGATACATAGGTGTATGAGATAAAATATCATGATCACTAACAATAACAATACATATTAAATACGATATTATCACAATCGTTATTAATAACTATTGTTATGGAAATCTATCATTATCAATAACATGTAAAGAATATTACGATCATTATATATAACAATAATAACTGTCATATTATTGAGTGATGATAAATTTAATTTGTATAACGAAAATATTAAAATATGAATTAGTTAAAATGAAAAAAATCTCATTTTATTGTTAAAGAGCAGTAGTGGCTCAGGAATAGAGCGCTCGCCTCTCAATGACTATGCGAATTACACAGCCGACTTGCACCGTTCAAAGTGCTGACGTAAAATATCCTCAGTGGTAGACGGATCATAGGTTAGTCCCCTCACCACCAGGCTAACCGTAGGAGTTTGTCTTTGTTTTCCTCTCCATGTAACGCAAATGCGTGTTAGATCCATCAGAAAGTCCTAAACAAAGGCAAAGTTTTTGCCAATATTTGATTCATGAGTTCCCTAGCCTTCCGGATTGGGTCCAAAATTACAACGAAGTTGAAAATTGGTAGTCGTAAACCCAAATTGGGTCTGTTGTTAAACGATGGTTCATTCATTGTTAAACATCTGATTTCTTAAAAATGTGCCGTGATGTCTATATTTGTATTTGTCGGTTATGGTGTCCAAGGTTCGTGTTGGTAACAACTGAGAAACAGTCTCCAACAAATTGCCCCTATTACCAATACTTACCGCTTTTCGTTTTACAATTATCTGATGAATTTATTCGAATGTTCTTTTCATTCTATGATCTGAAATATCATTTAAATATAAAAATCTAAAACTACAGAAAAGAAATGGTAGTAAACCAATTTAGAATGCAAAAGGTTTTGATTTTCGAGCAGCAAATTCTATTTTAACACTCTGTTTCGTTTGGATTTCTTCTTTCAACCCTAGTATATTGTTTTCTCTTGAATGATATTTAAAATCGGTTATTAAGAATGTATAAGTTTTTTAATTATCTCGCTGGAAATTCAATCTTAACCATTCTCATTTTTGATCTCTGGTACTTTCTAATTTACACTTCTAATTTTATAATATTCAATTCTAGGATTGAAACTTTCGATTGGATTACTCGTTTCAATCCTAGAATTGAATATTACAAAATTAGAAGCATGTATCTTTTACAATAAAAATTTTTTAAATTTTAATTCATTTCTTTTATAGGGTTGGATTGACAATTATAATGGACCAAGCGGATTCATTGCTTTGGTAAGCATATTATTTTCCAAATTATCTTAATCCTGTTGAGTGTTGAGATACTCGTAAAATAGAGCCAAAAATTTTCGAATGCCGAGCACTGTTTTTATTTGAAATATGTATCGAAAAAGATTCACTGCGAAAATTCGAAAGTTTTGGTACAGACGAACTACTTAATTGGTACAAAATAATCCAAAGCCAAGCATTTTGTGTGTATGGAAATGTGTAGCAAGAATGATTCCATTTGGAGGATCCGAAAGTCCCGATTCAGACTAGCAATTTTATTGGCACAAAAGTATCCAGAGCCAAGCATTGTTTGAATGAAATATGTTGCAAAAATGGTTCACTGTGAGATTCCAAAACTCTTGGTACAGATTAGCTACTTAAATGGCACAAAATTACGTAAATCAAAGCATTGTTTTTATTAAAATTTGTAGCAAAGGAGTCATTATGAGAATCCCAAAGTCTTGGTACAGAATAGGCTACTTAATTGTTCAAAAATTATCCAAACATTTTTTAGAACTTTTTCTGTTTTTTCCTCGCTTAAATATTAATACGAAATTACCATGTGTGCACTTTATTTTTTGATAATTTTACTAAAAATATAGGCTTTGTTTTTAAGAAACGTACTGTAGATTCATTCGAATAAGGTTTAGAAATTGATTTTAGGCTTTATTTTTTAGAGTAGCAAAGGCTTAATAAAAACGCTTCAAGTGAACCCCACTGTTAACGCTGATTGGGTTCCAGTTGATCACGTGGCAAACACATTGATTGTTGCAGCCTATCACAAAGCCATGGTGGAGTGAGTATCTTTGGTTTTCTTTTAACGTTTTCTTGTTAGTAACCTTAGAACAAAATTCACCATGCTGTCCGCCTTTATTATACCTGTTCTCAAAAAAGTTCAGCAAGGATTTCATTTAACACTATTCTTCGTAGCTTTGTCCCCAAAGAAAATAAAAGCCATAGTTTAAGTGCCTTATACTTAAAGAGCTGCGATGATTTTGAACTATATATATAATCTTGCTGTGGAGAATTATCTGGGCTCTAAAACAGACAAATAACTTAAATATTTCAAAAGTTATTAAAACTTTTTTAAAAAGTACCAATTTGGCGACATTTGTCCATCTGGAAGAAAATTATCAAAACCACTGCCTTATTCTCAGTTTAGGCAAATTTTTATGAGCCCAAATAATGTCGTATTGGAGTAAGTTTTTAAACATCAAAAAACTATACCACAAACGCTTTTGATTTTCACAAAACTGAAAACTTTTCTCCCTATTGACGTTTTGCGCCATTGTCAAAATAAGCGTAGACAGCGCTAACTTTGGATAGGGTAAACTTGACCAAGAGTCACGAGTATCAAATACAAACTCACAGCACTTATAAAAATAGCATATTATTCCCCCAAAGCATTTCATATTACAACGGGGCCCTCGAAAATCACCCTTAAGGGTGACAGTTTCTGAAAGTTAAGACAGAATTTTTGAAGCAAACGATTATATACTTATTTTCCTTTAATACTGAATTAATTATTTAATAATTCGGTTGCAAGCAAAAGAAAAAGGATAAAAAATCGCTTTTAACACTATTGAATAAATTAGGAAAAGGATACGCATTTATTACATTTCCTTAGTATTTCTCTTCGAGCTATTTAATCTATACATCTATATCTATACATAATAATAAACGCGGCTGTGTGTGTGTCTGTAATCACAATATATCGCCCCAGAAGCCTCGCCCAGGCACGAAACTCGGCACATAATTGTGTTTTGACATAATGAAGTATTTTTTTTTTTCTTTTTCAAAAATTTTGATTAGTTTTTTAGTTTTCAGTCATTTTGTAAGAAAATCTATGCTTTTTTGTTTTCAAAGAGCCATATTCAAAAAACTATTAAAAAATGCATATACTTTTCTCCACTTGTATAAATGTATGCTAATGCGAACCTTACAATTGAAATATTAATTTTCGACAACTTAAACCAATAATATACGAAGGAATTAATAATTTAATTGTAAGGTTCGCATTAGTTTACATTTATCAAAGTGGAGAAAAGTTTAACTTTTGTATTAAAAATGTGGCAACATATTCTATACGTAAATTGAACGCTTCGCTTTGATATATTTGTCGCTGTTCATAATTGTTATAATAAGTTTTTCTTCTTTCCACGCTCTATTTTTGTTTCTTATAAGCGAAGACGATAATTAGCGATATAGAAATAGAAATTGATACCATAAAATTTTTTATAGAAATAGAAATTGATACCGTAAAAAATTAATTCGTTTTCGTGTTCTTTTCATGTATTTAGCATTTTAGTTTTTTTTTTCTTAAGCGTTGTAGCTATATAATATATAAAATAGGAATTTAAGACAAAATTGCAGGACAGGAACACTTTAATTGTCCACTAATCTTCAGATTTCCTACTATGTTTTCAAAAACTTTATTTGTGAAAACCTTTAGCGTGGCGGACAGCTGGCCGACTTGGCCGGCTAGTTTGAAATAAAGTAATTAAATTCAACAATACGGAGGTATTTTTCCTTGATAACCATTGTGAACGTTTATAACAGTTTGTTTTTATTTCAACAAAAACCATAACTCTATTTATTAATTTTAAGCTTATGCGTACAGTGTGCGAAGAAAGTTATTATTTTTAATAAGTTTTGAACTAATGATCGGATTTACACCCTAGAAGACTCAATGGATCGAGGGGGTGATCTCAAGCATGTTAATTAGTACAGGCGATATTTAAAGTTGCGAAATCAGACACAAAAAGGTAATTTCTTCAAATATATATATCTTTTTTTTCAACGATTCGCTATATATGTCAAAAAAAGGTGTATTTATACCGAAAAAGAACGTTTTTGGGTTTGAAATCGTAACTCAAAATGCACTAATTAGTGTATCTAAAATTACCCCCTTGAACCATTGTGTTCAAGAACGTGAAGATCCGACCTTTAGATCCGAAGTTATTCAGGGTGGTTCGTTTTTTATTGTGCACTCGATCTGTATATTTACTTTTCGATTTTTACGCGAAGATTAATTCTAACATATTGGCTCTTTCTATTTAGTATGCTTATATATAATTAGAATAGAATAATGTAGGAAGTAATTTTGATGCATTATCATAGATGTATAATTATTGTTCATGGGATTCATGTCGTTTGAAATTTTTCTTACAGCCAATATCCAAAAGCATTCTTGTTGCCGCTGTTTAAGAAATCAGACGTGCCCATCGTTAACTGTGTTTGTCCTCATGCAAATGCGATCAAGTGGTCAAGCGTGGTACAAATTTGTATCCCTCTTCTTCGTAAGTATCCCAGTATGCATGTCTATAGAGTACCAGGAGGTGTTGTAACGTCAAGTAAATGCCTGCATGTTCTGTGCAGGTATTTCTATCATTATTTACCTGCAGCCATATTGGACGCAGCAGTTTTTCTGATGTGGAAAGAAAGACGGTAAGTGTTTTTGATATTTAAACTGTAATTAATTGTTTAATTTGGAAAACTACAGAAACTCAGCGAGACTTAAATAATTAGAAATGAAGTTTTAAAAGCGTGGCTCTTTGAAAATAATTTTAATTCGCAGTCACTAATTTGCTACCTAAACATTCAAACTGTCTTATAATTCGCATCATTGCATCAAGCTCTTAAATGATGCCGTACTTTTGGAAATGGACGAAATGCATGCTTAAGAAAGTGGACAAAATTCAAAATGCGTACATAAGAAATGCATTTCTCAAAATAGACGTCGTTAAGAAATCGACAGGTCTCAAACTTCGCTTTTTCAATGTTAAATCCAAATTTAACAACTAAACAAATTTCGAATTAAAATACGTCTATTAGAATTAAAATATATTAAATTATTTATTTCGAATTAAAGTATATTTGAAATAAACATAGTAGCTGTAAGTGCAGTACACATTAACCCACAGCACTTTGTCAGGAAGCCATTCATACGAAATTGTCATTCCATACGAAAATTTCGCATATTCGAATTCGGGGTAGCGAACTAGAACCTGATTGGTAAATATTTCGTGGGTAAATTTGTTTTACCAATCAGGTTCCTATTCACTAATGCGAATTTTTCGCATGCAGTGTGAATGTAACTTTAGAAAGATTAGCCGCTTGAAGTGACCGACTGTCGTTCCACATTAAACTTCATCTGCACGAACTTAACGCTTTGCGGCTGAACTATAGTTACTGCTGCATTTTGACGAAGAAGCATTGGTTGACTTCTTCATCAAATCAAGAAGTGTTACTTATCATTAAGGTTAATTGGAATATTTACCTCTAATTGCTTCTAATTAAAAACATCAGAACAGTTTTAGTTTTTCTTTATACTTGTTAAAAATGTATCATTGAGCATTAGTGTCAATTATATTAACCCGATAATTACAACACAGGAAAATGAAACTTTTATAGTACAACTAATGAAGAATCTATGCAAACTTTAGCTTTCTAATTTCATGAGAAAAGGAAGAAGTAGTGAGCCAGTGAAGCTAAAAATAAACTGCAGTTAATCTACAGAAAAACTGCAGTTTGAAGACTGTGGTGATTTGGCCCATAGCACTGCAGACTTTTTGAAGTCAAAACACTGCAAAATTACTGCAGTTTGTAAACTGCAGTAATTTTGCAGTTGTACCAACTTCAAAATTTTTACTTTTAATATACAAATGGTGGTGCCATCTATCGTGAGTGATAGAAAATACTATAGTTTTCGTTAAAAAAATTCATTTTGAAAAAAAATATTTTCGATTGAATATTTTTTTTTTAATATTGGACTATTCTAAATTTAATTATCTATACATGAAGTATAATACTCATGAAAGTTTCCGTTGTGAATCTGGCGACACAAGGTATGTTGGGAATCGAACTCGCTTCCTGTCAGGTATGAGATTAACCGATTAGCCCTCTCGGCTATACCCATTTAAGTTTTTTTCCCCTAAGTTTTGTTATTTTTCTTTTATGTTTAATTTTTAAAAGTAAGGAGCTCTAAACGAATTTTTAAAGTAAGCAGTTTTATAAATATTATGCTCATTTAGGTTTAATTGAAAATACTATGAGTTATTTTTTTTTCAAACAAAATTATTTTTTTAATTTGTAAAACTTTATTTCCAAGCAATAAAAAAAAGTATATTGTTTTAAATTGCCTAAATTTATTTAAGACAAATTTCTGAAACAGAGTGAAACTAATAAATGTTTGAAGGAGAGGTTTGAAGCTAAAAAATCTGGATTAATTATCCCTTTTCAAATTCAATTTTGTAAACTCTTTTGATATCAAATTGTTTAAAATCCAAACTAAATATTTGTTTCGATTAGAAAAAATAAGTATAATTTTTGTTCCGCAATAATCCTAGCTTAGTATGAATTCGAATAAAAAAATTAACTAATTAACATTAACTGCTTGCCTTCACTTTAATATTACTTTTACCATAAACTTTGCGCAAACATAGTTTTCTTAAGTCAAAAAGAAATATATAATAAAAATTAATAAAAATAAAATTAGTAATAAATTTACTAAAATACAGAAATATTTAAATACCTTTATATTTAATTACTTTAGGCTTATTTTAAATCAATTAAATTGTGTCAAAATCTTACTTAAAAGTTTTTGACGCTTCTGAATTATAAATAATCAAGTATATATTTTATGAATTTTACCTTTTATGAACATAGATAGTGTACGTTATTTCCGTTATCAACATATATGTTTAGAATATTTATCTAATTATGAGAAATTAATTTATAATGAAAAAAAAGACATAAACATTATAAAAAGTTGATATACCAACCAAGAAAACAAAATTGAAAACATCAAACTCTTTCTATTTTACAACAATACAAAGTAACTGCAGTTTTTCTGCAGATTCATCAAAAAGTATACTTCTGAAACAATGACTGCATTATTACTTCAAATTTACTGCAGAATAACCACGGATTTAAAGTTTCAATTTTTTCGAAATTTATGATTTTAAAGTGACCTCACTTAAACTGCAGTAATTTTGTAGACTTTTTGAAATAAATTACTGAGAAATTACTTCACATTAGCTGCAAAATGACTGCAGTGTTTTTGCAGTTAAGATTGCACTACAGAAAATCTGCAGTTAACTCCAGAAAAACTACAAAATCACTTCAGTTCTGCAGAAAAACTGCAGTTTATTTTTAGCTGGGAGGCTTTGCATTTTATATAAAAAAGGAGAGAGATTAGCATTCCATAGTGTATAAGATTCAGATTAATTAAATGTTTCTTATGGAAACAAAATGTGATTCGCATTTTACTGATTTTTTGTTCTTTTTTTTGTTGCTTCAGACTTAATCAGTCGCAAGTTTAATTTCATTATTTTGAGTACATAATGTCATTAAAGTTTAGCGCAGTATAGCAACTCCCGTTTCTTCGTCCATTAATTTTTACACTCAATCAAATGCTTTTCTGACTCAATTCATAAATGTATCTTTTCAGATTTGTCAGAAACTACCAACGTATTCATAAAGTTTTGAACTTCTTGCAACACTACACCATGAATGAATTTAGGTTCAAAACTGGAAATATGAGCATACTCATCGAAAGTGTTCACGACACTGATAGAAGTGTAAGTATACATCTGATTTGAAATTGGATTTAATCGCATAGAATTGAAAGATTAATAATTTTTTGCGTGCATGTATCACAATATTGTACTGAGCACAGGGGTTCATCTCGATTGGAGATGAGTAAAACAGTCTTAAATTTATTTTGAAAATCTTTTAAGAAATACAGCTCCTTCTAGTACTCAATTACAACTCAAATAAGTGTAGCACGCAACAAGGCACAGGGTTCATGAACTCAGAAGCTTTAATGTTATAACTCGGTTCAGAACACTAGTCCAAGCAGACTATTAGTTTCTACTCTACTGCTTGGCACTCTTCTATTTATATAGGCTTAACGACGAAATCCCGGAAATTTCAGCAAGTTTCTAGACGATTCTCGCAAAACTCCGTAAATATTTTTTATCCAATGCCCACTAGACTGATACTCGTCGTTCAAGTATTAGTAGGACAGACTTGTTGGCTACTGTTTCAGAGGCACCCTATTAGGTGGGCCAACGTTGCTCCCACATTAAGAATATAGTACAGAGAGAAAGCCTAGTTCGGGATTTGAACCAAGGACCTTTCTGATGAGAGGTCAACTCTCTGACCACTACACATCCGATCAGCACTCCGCAAATATTGCTTTTATCGCTTTGAAACTCTTGAAAGTTACCAGAACTGTCGCTTTTTAGCAAAAATGATTGCCAAGTATCTTCAAATCGCCAAGTCTGCAAAAATGCTGCCAAATCGAATCTTAAATAAGAAATAAAATTAGTTTTTCACTCCAAATGTTACAATTATACGACTTTACAGCAAAATTTCCGATTAAACTGTCCATTTAGTCTGTCTGAGATATTCAGTCTCACAACAAAAGTCACAAAATTATACAAATGTTTACGAATAGATAACCATATTACGTCACAATCTTTTACATGGTTTGACTTTATTCAGGGCTCAAACTACAAGTTGGATGTCAATAGATTCCTAAGATTTATCAGTTAAAAAATCTCAAATCATTTTCAGTTTTCTTTTTAAAAAATTGAGAAGGAGTAATCTTTTAATATTGTTGCAGGAATAACATCTTACTAAATCTATCTGCATGAAGCTAACATCATTGCTGCTTTGAATATCCTACTTTATATTGTTTTGATACGAAAAAACTATTAGACTTGAAATTACGAAAATGTGTAGGAAATTGATGTACAGTGAGCAAAAAAATAAAAGGGCCATCCAGAATTACTTTTGATCTAACGATCGGATTTTCACGTTCTAGGATTCAATCTTAATGGCTATTAATTATTGCAGACTATATTTTAAGTTACTGGAAAACGTTCTTTCTCTGAATAAACAAATTTTTTCCCCCCGACAGATTTGGATTTCTGACCCCTGAAACATAGGGAATAGCCGCAATCTGGGAAATATAGTCTCAATATAGTCTTCGTTAGGAGAGCGGTCCAAACTTTGGACCCCTTAATGTTAATTTTACTTTATGCAAATTTCATCATATCTCGAGAACTTTTAAGCGAAATAAAAAAAAAATTGCACAAAATTATAAAATTCGTTTATCCAAAGATAATTCCATGTAAAAAGTAACCTTTAGTAAATATTTTATCTTTTATTTATTAATAGTAGAAAAATTTTTAAACTAAGGTATACATTTTATACTTTTACCTTTAATATTAATCTGGTTTAATTTTGTTCCCAATCGAATTTTCGTTTCAATCTGTTAATAATGCGCTTCTAAGTCCCAGCGCGTTTGGAATGACAGGAATTTTCTTTAAAATGCAGAGCTTATTATACTTTCAGTAATTTGAATAAGCGTCTTGACTTTCCTCTCTGAAAATTGCTTCTTCTACTCTAGTATATTCCAACTTATTATTAAAACATACTGCCATGGGGGAAAAAAAAGCAAGATTGTCTGAAACCATGGTAACGGAGAGGGAAAAGATAAAGAGAATGGGGAAATCGTGCAGCCTTGACGCCTGTTCTTATTAAAAAAAATAAATAAAAAAAAAAGAGGTTGTATTGGCCATTATATTCCGAGTATCATCAACAAGTATAAAATTAGAGATTTTAAATCTAAAATGGATATTTGTTACTTTTTATAAATAAATTTAAATTATTTACGATCAACTGTTGTCCCCTGAAGTATTTTATTTGGCAACTGCATATTTTAACATATTTTTTCTGATTTTACGCAGATGTTCGCTAACAGGCAAGTTTTTTTTCCAGACTTTTCCTATTGATCAAAATCTTCTGAACTGGAGGCAATATTTGGAAGATTATGTTCTAGGCGTAAGACGCTTTTTCCTAAAAGAAGATGATAGTTCTTTGCTTCAAGCACAGAAGAGACTTGCAAGGTAGTTTTTTAAAAATTTTTATGAACTTGCTGACGTAAAATAGCCTTTGTGGTAGACGGATCATTGGCTAGCCCCTCTGCCGTCAGACTAATCATCAGTTTTTATAGTTTCCCTCTCAATGTAACGCAAATGCGGGTTAGTTCCATCAAAAAGATCACGAAGGCAAATTTCTCTCAATACTTGATAGGAGTACTGTTGCCTTCTGAAATGGGTTCCTTATTACAAGGCAATGAAGTTGAACATTGGTAGTCTAAACTAAAAATTGGATCAACTGTTCAACGACGGTTTAAAAAAAAAGAACTGTAACATTTTCTACTTCGGCAATATACGCATATCGATAAGGTATCTGTTTAAAATAAGAGCAGCTTTCTGTTGAACACGAATGAAGTCTTCAAGATCCATAAGTTATTTGGTCACCGCAAATCTTTTGATTTATTTAAAATTTTGTAATGTAAGTTTCGTGCAGCAGTGCTAAAAAATGGCGAAATAGGTAAAGTTCAAATAGGTGCATCGCTTTCGGAGGCCCTCTATCTCGTATTTAAGGTTAAATTTTTGATGTTCGTTAACTAGTTTTCTCCCTTGATTTCATTTTCGAAACGGCGTTTGAACATTCGATACATTTTGGGTTTTACGGCTGTCAATGTTGAACTCCGTAGCTTTGTACTCTTGAATCCAACTCAGAAGAAGAGTTTTTGGATCAGGCATTTGTGTAATCTAGCCTTCACGAAGGACATTTGGATGAAACGAACCCATATTTGCATCGCAGGAACATTTAAACCACGAAAAACCTCTCACGGTTAGCCCAACGCAAGAGGATATTTTATGTCAGCACTGTACTGTGGTCGGTACGAGACGAGAGAGCAGCTACCGCTGGAATTCGAACCTGGGGCACCTCATTCGGAGGTGGGCATTCTATCTCCTGAGCCACAGCGACCCTTCCTACACTTTTGATGTTAGAATATAATTCTATATACACTTTACCTTTCAAAATAAAACGTTGCTTTATTAGATTAGGAGAAATAGAACTAGATAAATTTTTGAACTTTAATATATTCTCAAATTTAAAGCAATAAATGTATAAGGTTATTAATTTTGAGTAATTTAATATTATTTATTTGTCCTGTTTTTAGATTTTTAAAATTTTATTTTTTATTTAAGCAAATGAAAACAGGTTTGGTAGATGCTGAATAATTGACATAAATTTATCAAAATCTTATAACAAATTTATAAAACTAAACTGCCTTATTAAAAAAAAAAATTTGATTGTAGAATTGGTATAATTTAGAAATAACGGCAGCTATATATATATTCCAATTTTAACTAGGTGACTACATAATATTTTACGAATTTTGAAAGACACTGCAAAATTGGGTATAATTACTTTAAACATAAATAAATATGATGTTTATTTATACACCATGATTGTATGCTGTAATTTACACAGCATAAGATTCATTATAATTAAAAATTGATACGAAAATAATTTAATATTCCCCTTTTTGACTGTTGAGTTTGGTCGGAAAGAGAGCTTTTTTGAGTCACGAATTACTCTTATAAAATAAGACTTTTTGAAGGTTCTGTCGCCACAAGAAATATTTCTTTTTTTATGATTTTATTTTAAAACCGTCGTTTATCAGCCGAACCAACTTTGAGTGACTCCTAAAGATCGACTCCGTAGCCTTGTAATTTTGAACCCAATCCAGAAGACAAGGGAACTCCTGGATCAAGTATTGGGAAAATTTTTCCCTCGAAAGAGACTTTTTGATGAAACAAAACAGCATTTACGTTACGTGGTGAGGAAAACCATGGAAACCTTTCACGATTAGCCCGATGGCAAGGGGACTCTAAGCCATTATCCGTCTACCACTGAGGATATTTTACGTCAGCAGTTACGTATTTACTCTGGTCTGTGCGAGCTGAGTGCGGAATTCGTATCAACCAGTCACCGCTAAGATTCAAACGCGAATCACTACATTGGGAGGTGAGGGCTATGTCCTCTGAGCCGCCACGGCTAATAAGTTTTTATTTTTTTAAGCACTTATGCTATATTATAACAAATGCGAGTTTGCAACAGTTAATTATGACTGTTAGGTCAAGTTTTGCCGATTTAGTTACCACTTTCTATGCAAATTCTGGAAATTGCGTAAAATGTCAAAATAAAGAAAAGTCACATTTTTTTAGAAAAATGAAGTCTTTGATCTAATTCAGAGGTCGCCAAAGTGGTCTATATAGACCCCCAGCGGTCTATTTAACAAAAGCGGGGGTCGATCTGAGACAAAGGGGCGAATGGGGGTCGATCCGAATCGGAAGGGTCGATTGTGGGTCGAAAAAAAAAAGTTCTCAATACGCAAATCACACACATACCAAATTAAGTATGTAAAATTTGTGAATTTTCTTTATAATTGACTCAATATCAGTTTCCTAATAAAAAAAAATTAATAAACGTATATTTATTGGGGTGAAACAAGTATTTACGTACCACCGCGCAGTGGCACGAACTCAGTGCAGTTTATAAGTCATATGCATATGTGCGCTTGTCCAAATGTCACGTGCGACGAGCATTGACGTTACAAATGCAAATATCATACGCAGTTTCAGCTATCTTTGCAAACTGTGTTGAATATTTGCAGTGTCATTATTAAAACTTTTATAGTTTTGGATAATTAGTTATTGTTTCGATAAAACCATTCGTTTGGTTTAGATATCAATTTTAATTATCAATGCACAAAAAAGAAGGTAAGCATTAATAATATGGATTAGTACAGCCCGCGACAAAACTATAGCACACTTTGTATTTTTTTACGAAAATTACAAAATTGACCAATTTTGACGAAAATTAAAATTGACCAATTTTGAACCCAATATAGCGAACCTTGCAAAAAAACACCAGGCACACCCATCTCATTGATCAAGAAGCAGTAAATCTTTAGTTACTTTACTTAGTATATCTACTTATGCATAATTACTTATTATTTAATAATAAGGTATTTAAATTTCAATGTTAATATATTTTTCATAAAACTATTGTTACACAATGTAATATTACTTTACTAAATGTTTAAAATTATAAAATAAATGTACAAGCACAGTATCTAATAGAGTTTTATTTTAATTAACAGAAAATTACTTTTGTGGGGTTCGACAGAGATTTCGAAAAATTATATAGGGGTCGATGATCAAAAAAGTTTGGTAACCCCTAATCTAATTTATACATTCAAAAGGCAACTACAACGCGGCAATTGTTTCGGCTCATAAAAAGTTTTAAAAACTGAGACTCGTGTCTTTATATTTGAAAGTGGAATAAATCCATTTGATAAGTGAATCCGAGGCTTTTAAGAGTTAGTGTTTGAATGAGTTTAAAAATATTGGCAAAAAGTTTTCAGTGATATTTTTGACACTATATTTTGATGAAACATCAAAGTGCAACGATTATTAAAATCGTAAACTAAACATTTTGGACTCCAAAAGGTCATTCCATTTTTAAAAATAACTGCTCAGTTATTCGTAATGTTGACAAGTTTCATTTAGATGGAAAAATATCGACAGATAAGCTATTTTTAAAAAAGCTTAATAACTTTTTTAATATTAAATGACACATTCTATTATCTTTCCAAAGAAAATTAGGTTTATTTTTTACTAGCAAAAACAAGCACAAAGCCATGTAGAACCAAAAAGAAGCTGAACATGAATGGAAATTGCCAGATGCTTATAACTACAATAGTCACGATACAATTAAACAAATAATGAATTTAGGAAAAATAAATGACGTAGACAAGCGAGAATTATATTCCAACATTTTAAAATAGTTTTCAGTTGTCTGTTCAGAAGCCCAGATAATTCTTAATGCAAGAAGGCATAGATTGTTTAAAATTTATAATTTTAACTCTGGAGTCGGGCACTTAAATTGTGGGTTTTTTTCCCCTTGGCAAAACATTATTAAATACAAATTGTTCGAAGCTCTTAACATTTTCACCTTTTGTTGCTCCACAATATTTTCTACTTTCATCGCTTTAAATTAGGTACTGGCACTTCAAGAAGATTCTGAAATACTCACTTTAAGAAGATAGACACACATTTGACCTATGACGTCACCTAATCGTTTATAAGCAAAATGGCGTGTTAAATTTCTCCATATAAGTTGGATTGTTAATTAACGTGAAGTTAATTAAATACAGCACAGTATCGCACATCGAATTTGCTGAAATATAATTCTTTCTAGTCTACGTCTTTTGCTAAACTTAAATTTATTAGTTTATTATTCGTCTACTTAACTTAGATTTACTATTTGTTTATATATTTTATTGTAACTCTGATATATTTTTGTTTTGTCCACCTGGCAACTTCGATGCATAATTTATGATCTACATCGCTTCGTGCCTGTCTTTGCGTTAAGTAAGAAATATATAGTGAAAAGATTGTGAAAGAATATAGAATGTGTCACTTGAGAGAATTTATACTTGACGCGTTTGGCTGTTTCGAAATTGAATAGAAAGAACAATTGCTAACGTAAACAAATACCACGTTTCAACAACCAATCAGAATCTAGATACTTACACTACATTACTTGAAACTATCTCATTCTAATTTCTTATTTTTATCGTTAGAGTGCAGATGTTGGAGTTTTGGGGCAAAGTGACGCCTGTGGCCCTTATTTTGTTGCTGGTTCTGAAGAGACGAAATGGAATTCCAATTTCTCTCGCCTTAGCCAAGTTTGGAGCAATCATTTGGAAACCATTTGATAAAATTAGTTGGAGAGTCTAAGCGTTTGTCTAATCATTTTGTGTTCAATATTCTAATGAGTTTTTAAATTAACTATTTATTGAAATAGATTGTAGTTCTTAAATTTTAAAATATGATATAAGTTATGTTTTTAGCCTGTATGTTTATGAAATTAAAGTACTTTACTATTGCTTCACTATTGGTTATTTTTGCATACTGTTAAATTAAATCAAGGACTCACACGCTATAAATAAATTCAAACCTACAAAATTTTGAAGAAAATGAAGTGAAATAAAATGAGAAAACAGACTGAACCACACGAGATAGGATTGGTGTTACATTTGCGTCTGGTTGATGTACTGATTCAAATAGTTATTTTAAGGGGGAGGTTTAAATGCAAACTTACTTGTTTAATGCATTGAAGCCTCCAATTCAGATTGTCAGAGTTCCAAATTTTATTTATAATAAGTTCATATATCAGAAAAAAAAAGTTCTCATTCTAAGCATTTTATTCCATGAAACAATTGTTACATTATCACGAAGGAAAAAAATAAGGTTCGTCTTATATGAATAGAAATTAATGTTTTTATATTAAAATTCGTCTTTCTTTATAACCGGCGTAAACAGCGAACACACCAATTCTTGGGTTAATTTTGAGCCAAAATCACAGGACAAAGGAATTCCTGGATCAAGCAAGCCCTCGTGGAGGACTTTTTGATGAACCAATTTCCATCTGTGTTACATGAAGAAAACCCTTCCACGATAAATACAAAGGAAAAGGGATCATCCATAATCAGACTACCACAAAGGATATTTCACGGGAACACTGTGGTCTGTGCGAGTCAGGAACACAATTCGTATCAAACTACCACCTCTGAGATTCGAACCTGGGAATTCCATTGGGAGACGAACTTTTTATCCTCAAAGTCACCGCGGTTCCGCCAAGGAGATTCAATGTTATAACAATCATTGAACAGCCGACCCAACTTTGATGGTACGACTATCAATGTTGAACTCCGTAACCTAGTAATTTTTAATCACANACAAAATAGAATAAGCATCCCAAAAAAAGCTATGTTTAACAAATAAGACAAAAAAATACACATCTTTCTTATTTTTCATCAACTGCGCAGTTAACTTCGTCACATCGGACTACTAATTTGATCCGTGTTGAGGCCTTCCTTATTCTAGGAGGTGTTGCTCTAACCCATGATCCGCCTGCCACTGGATATATTTTACGTCAGCACTGTAGTCTGCGCAAGCTGGGAGCAGAATTCAGATAAATCAGCCAACCCTGGGATTCGAATACGAGCCACCTCATTGGAAGGTTGCGCGATCTATCACCTGAACCACTTCGGCTCAACAGTTAATGGGAACAAAAAAGTAGAATTGGGTCAAGTCTCACAACTGTTTCGTTTTGTCTGTAAATATTTGTGTCAATTTTTGTTACTTGAAGCCAAAAAAGGGGCGCAGTTTGCTTTGCTTCGTGTAACAAGCCCTGCATCGAAAGTAACAATCTCGCTTTAATGCTCTAAGGCATTTAATCCCGCTTTAAGCACGGGTTACCATAAATATCCTTTAGTAGTCCAAACGTAATGAGATATTTCGTATTTTCAACCACTGCGCAGCTTAGTACCCCGAACGTAATGGCATCTTTTTTATTTTTCATCTACAGCGCAGTTAACTTCGTCACATCGGACTACAAAATCGATCAGTGCTGAGGCCTTCCTTCTTCTAGGAGGTGTTAGATTTCGAACAAAATTGAGGCAAATATTTGATTTGGCTGAAGGCTCAGTTAACTTCGTTACGTTAGAAAATTAAAAGCTGTCTACTAGAGTTCTTATATTTATTATTCTTCTAGTTGTTCCGCTGATTGCGATTCCTACCATCACCCGGCGATGCTGTAAGTGAGGGCTCGCTGATTGGTCTGTGACCTTCTTTCGGCACCATGCGATGCTGTAAGCTTGCTGATTGTTACGTGACCTTTTTTGTTTTATGACTGATACCTTCCCTTGGGTTCCCGACTTTCCTATGCTCGTGCGCCCTTGCCTTGTGATTCTAGGCAGTTTTCTGCAATAGCGACGGTCATTTTACAAATGGGCAGCACTGAGGCGGACTTTGAATTTCTAATATATTTATTCTGTCTAGAACAATTAAGAAGCTCTCACTTAATATCAACAAAATCGAAAACAATAGTCTAAGGAAAAGCTGTTATTTTTTATGGATAATTTATTTCAGTCTATGGTGAAATTACTGCAGTATGTATATAGTTATAGTCATAGAATCGACGACTCTCGGTAAATTTAAGACGTCATTCTCGGAAGTGCTATACGCGGTAATCTTATTTGTATTAAGAGAAAAAAAAATTATAAATAATTCAAAGATTTTTTGAGCGAAGTAAAATATTTTTGCTTAGCTAATTTACTAGGTCTTAAATAATTTCAAATGGGGAAATTTCAGTTTTTTATTCAAATAAATCAATGATATTTATCACGTCGTAACTCAATAAAATGAACATGTTTTTGTTCTATTTCATATTTTTTCTCACATTATAATAATTTTATTCAAATTTCAAAACTTGCCTAAACATAAAAATATACAAATTTGATTTTAACTCCCCAATGATTAAGGGGTCAAGGTAACATCAGAACAATGATTCTTTATTTTGTTATAAATAAATCCCTTTCAGTAGCATAAAGTGCACATTAAATAAAATGATTATTTTAAAAATAAAATTTTTATACTTCTTAAAAATCTTTTTTTAGCATAATGGTTACGGCTAAAAATCTGGGTATTCATTTGATGAGATATCAATTAGAAAATTACTTTAAAGTTTTATCTTCAAAAGAAAAAAAATCCCTAGGAATTCAAATAACATGTAAATACCAAAGAAGTAAACACTTGAAAAAAGTTTTGTTTTTCCTGAAAAAACCACTATTTTTGCCAAACAACCCTCAAAACTTAATAAACAATCCAGATAAAGATAAGATTAGAATTATTTAAAACTTTAATGTAAGAAATTTTTTTTTCCTCGATGCTTTTGTCTAAATTTGGTTATTGTGGCACCTTAAAATTAAATTACAAAATCCAATAAATTAGATTTAATGCCATAAACAATTATTTACGACTTCATAAGATACATTAAAGCAGTTTATCGGTGTAAGGAAGAATCATGCAATATAAAGCATAAGCAGCAGTTCATTATAACTAATTTAAAATTGTTACAGAAAACAATTTAAATGACTAACAATGACTTAAAGTCATTTTTTATTATTATTTACATTAAATGCGCAGGAATTTTTCTGCATTCAAGTATAAATATTTAGGAAATTTAAATCATATAAGAGTAGGGTATTATTGAGAATAAATAAGCTTCAACTGCCAAACATATTTAATTTTTATTTCTTTCAGTAATAAAGCTATGGCGTTTGTTTTATTTGTTTTCAAAATAATACAAATTTCAGCTTGTTAACTACATCTTATATTTATTTGCGAAGATATCGTTTTATACTTGATCTCGATTAATCAAAATTTAAAAAAGACAAATGTTTTATTTAAGTACGAATCTTTTGTTAATTTTATAAAGTACGAATCTTTTGTTAATTTTATTGTATAATATTCGCTAATGGACAATACATGAAACATTGTTATTCCTAAACATGACTTCTTTTATTGTGTAATTTAAAAGCTTATAAAGTCAGCAAAAAACAATAATTATCAAAAAATAAAAGAAAATTATTAAGAAATAAAAGATGAATAACACTTACTCGACTATTAGCTGTTATTTGATTTTAATTTAATATATCCATTCATAGTCACGTTTAATTCTTTCAGTTCCATGTTTTTAGGGAATTTATAAACTGGCACTTATATAATAACCTTTAAATCTTGGTACATAGGTCATTATTAAAAACCATAAAATAATGACATAGAAAGAATTCAATAATCGATGGTCAAACGAAGCTAGCTATTCTGGTGATCAATGACAAATATTTAAAATTGCCGGCAAGTCAGAACCACTGTGAGTGTCGTCACAGACCTTGGTGATTCCAACAGCCTTATTTTTCGGTGGTTATGCTAGTCGATAGTCATTTTTATGACTTGTAATACAGCCCAGGGACCTTTCCTCTTCTTTTTATCGCACACTTTGGATATAGCACAGTTTGATCATCTTCGCTAGAGGAGGAGTATAGTCTTCTCGGAGTATATTCAAGTTCGTATTTCGTTTAAATTTACATTCAGTCTAATTCTTAACCACTTGAGGAACATGATCATTTATATATATATATTCTGCCGAGGGATTTTATTATGTATAATCCAATGGAGCTTAAAAAAAACAACAACATAGTTTTGAAATTTTATTAACTTAATCACTACCATGTTTAGTAATCGAGTACTTCCTTCAAGGTAATTATTTGATTTGTAACAAAAATTATATCTTTTTCAGAATTTGTATTATTTAACAAAAGTTGTACTTTTTACGAATGATACAGAAAAAGCTTATACACTTATTCATAAGTATGGCCTATTACAAAAGTCCATAAGTACAAGTCTCCAACTCACCTTAAAAAAATGCTAAAATTAAAGATGCAAATAACGTATATTTATAACAGGCTGAAAATCACTAATCTTTTTCAATAGCAGTTTTTTTTGGTGTTGAGGAAAATACATTTTTCTGTTTAAGCTTATTGTTATGGCAGTCCGTGCTGCTAAAGTGACGCCAGTGGATGGCACACCACGCAACAAAGCATGCACATTGCATGTCGGTAAGCAGAAGTTTAGATTTTCTTATTTAAACATTACAAAACAATATGTTTGGAGACCTTGCATATAAATAAAAATGCAATAGACTTAAAAACTTAACTTATATTATAACCCTTGACTTATATTATAACCTTGTAATTTTGAACCCAATCCGGAAGACAAGGAAACTTCGAAATCAAGTAATGGGAGAAATTTGCCTTCGTGGAGGACTTGTTGATAAAACTAACCCGCATATGAGTTACACATAGAGAAAACCATGATCCATCTATTATTGAAAATATTCTAGGTCAGCACAAGCCAGGTATGGAATTCATATCAACCAGTCACCACTGGTATTCGAACCCGGTTAACCTCATTGGGAAGCAAGTGCTCTATCTCCCGAGTCACCACAGGGCTTACAAAACACACTTTTAGAGGTAGTAAGTAGAGTCAATGGAAGTAATAGGGTCAGTGGACAACTAGTCAGTGGCAATTTAAAGCATATGGGGCCGGTTATTTATTCATAACACGCTGATGCCAACTAAATAAGTCATTCATACACATAGGTCATTGAATACGGTCAATATTCAGTGACACAAATAACCATTGGACATCATCACACTAGTTTTTCCCCCAGCTAATTTAACATCAAATGTGAGTAATCGACTACAGCAACAATCTTGCTATAAGGACAGTTCCATCTCACATAGTGAATTGTGGTTATAAGACTTAATTATTTGTATTTTTGTTTGAGACATTTAACTTTGAAGCAAGAAATCAAATATTCTCATGCATGAAACTTTTATTGTGAGATAATAGCGAGTAATACAATATCTACATGGATGAGTTAAATGAGTTAGTTAAAAATGACATAAAATTGTTCGATTAAAAGAGTTATTAGTGAACAACAGGATTCAGTGGCTCGGCTTTAATATTAGATAAATCTAATCTAGCATCTAATTCATCATCCACTTCACCCACAACAGCCCTGTAAAAAAGTTTATGATAAACTCATTTCTTTTTCACCAGACAAGAAATTTATAAATCTTATTGAATTTTACATTCATTTAAAATTCATTTTAATACTGTTGTTAAAGTTCCTTTTCTAAAATAAAAAATCAAACAAATTCTGAAGGCTCTCAAGCTCAATTTACTAGTTTTTATGTTTATCTCGATGAAGCAAAACTAAACTATTTGTAAAACTCATCACATTTTACTTAAATCAAAATAGTTAAATAAGGATATTAACTAAGTTCTTTTTATAATTATTTAAAATTCATTTTTAAGACAGATAAGAATCAAAGAATGTTTTTTTTATATCATCATCATATATGAATAAAGAATTAATTGAGCTTATTCAATCTAGAGTGTTCTTAGATAGTAATGATCTAATTAACAGATCATTAAATAAATATTTGTTGAATTTTCAGAAATGCCGATGAATTAAAATTATAGGGAATTAATGTCTGATTTTAATAGGTAAATTACATATGTTAAATTATTGTAGCAATAACTATAAATTTAATTTTTACTGGAGTCTCACAAAACTGGCTTAATATTGCTTAAGTAGCAGAACTGAAGTTAAATAGTAAACTTTATTTGATGGTTTATGAAAGTTGTATTGGTATATGCCAGCTGATTTAATTTTTTTTAGATAAAATGACTAATTAAAGGGTTAAATACTGACTACATGGGAGCCACTACAGAAAATTTTCAAGACTTCACTTATTTTTTTAAACTAATTAATGCAGTCTAACATTGTTTACTGGAATTTTGAAAAATTTATAGCGTACTGACAGCAAAATTTACCTTTTTTTCTGACAATAGCTTAATAATTAAATCAATAATTTGGTTATTTTTTTCTTAAAAAAAAATATATATATATATTTCTCTCTATTTTATTAAATTAGTTTTTGACAGCAAAAAAAAAAGAAGAAAAAAAGCCAACCTTGTCTATTTTTTTACATCGTTCACTGAATAATAAACTACACATTTTTACCTGAAACCAGTCATACCTCCTTTTAACTCCATCCTTCTCTATTTTTGGTCCAAGCACCATTTTTCTTTTGTAAAAAAGAATCTTGGTTTAACTTTGGCTAATATTTGAATATGTTGGGAGGGGGGGGGTGAGGAATGCAAACTCCAGGCAGATTTGGACTCAGCTATAGTGCAAATTTTGTTTATACTAACAGATGTTGAAAGTCAATCTATCTCATTTGTCAGGACTTTGAGAATAAGATTGACAAAAGCAAGATAAATAAAAGTTCAGACACCATTCTTTCATTGCAGTGTGAAATCATTACTTGATCATTTCACAAGCATTTGTAAAAAATAACAATTTCAATAAAACTTAACATTTATTTTTAATTTTTAACAGAAAATATGTTACATTTTTTAGAATAAAAAAAAATAATTAAAACAAATGTGAAAGTGATATTAATTAATAGAATTTAAATTTAGTCCACTGATTTTTCTCAAAACTGATTTCAGTGTGGCACCCATGTGACTAGAATTAAAAGAAATTTGCATACAGTTAAGACTTTTTTTTAATTTTTTAAATTTAATCATTATGGAACTATTTAACTACTGCATGCACAGTATGAAGTTATGGCTACAAAAAATGCTATAATTTTTTTACACAATCAAAATGTAAAATATTTTATAATATACTTACACATTATCTCCTCTGACAATATACAGGCCCAAAACCACCTGCTCAATTCCTTGGGATGAGCTGTACACCCGCTCATGGCTTTCATCGAGGATTAAATTAATGGTCTGATCAAATCCTTTCAAAGTTCCCTAAAAATGGAAAATCATAACAAGAACAATTAGTCATTAATGAAACAAAAATATCAATATTTTCTCTGCAAATTTTCATTTCTAACAGAGATTGATCCAGTTCCAGGGGTCTGTCCAGGCCGAAGTTACTACCGTTTAGCGGTACCTTTACAAATTCAACTTTATTAAAAACGGTAGTTTCACAAATTCAATTTTAGGAAAAAGGGTAGTTTCACAAAATACTTTTTCTTAAAATTTTATTTTTGTATCCCTTAAGAAGCGATAAATCCATATTGTGTTGATTATTTAATATGATTTTTAATTTTTCACAAATTATGTCTAAATTTTCACAAAATAGGTAGCTCTCAGAAAAACCTAGACAGACCCCTGAGTTCAGATTTTTAAAAAAATATTAAACATTTCTTTTTGCTAGCACATTTATGCCTACTACATGCATAAACAATAAGAATAGTATATTTTCTATTTTAATATGGAAAATATGTAAATGTAATAGGAATGCTTGAATGTAGTTGAAAAACAGCTTCTTCATATTTAGATGGATGCAAACCAAGAATGGTGTCAGATAATCAAGTCAAATATCTCTTACAAATCGGAATTTTATCACAAATAAAAAATACTACAACAAATATTATTCAAAATCCATGATTCAACAAATAATTCAAAATATTTATTGAATTATTTCAATTCCATACATAATTTAAAATAAACTTTAATTTTGAAAAATGAAGTAAAAAACAATTTACTTACTACTATATTCCGTCCATCAGCAGTTATGATAGAAACAGTATCTAAGTAAAAGTTAAAGTGTATCACCAATATATCTTGAAAGTTAAATATAATTGAAAAAATAACAAATAGTAAGTACTCATTCTCTAATATAAAGAGTTGTAAAATGATTTTTCAAAACACAAATAATCTATAAATACTTTTCTGTAAGTACTTCATTTGAATCAATTCAAAAGGAACTTTAATCCGTTATTGGGAGAAAAAACTATTTTGATCCTCTGCAGAGGGGGTGGCAGCCCCGCTTCATTAGCACGACGACCCGTCCGCGAGCACTTAACAGCTATACAGTTTAACGAAGACCAATAACACACACCCAAAAAATTCAATATAGTTATTCAAAGATACAATTTAAAAACATATAGTCTAAAAATGAAAGTAACACAGCCTTGCAATAAAATATTATCACTTGAATGTGACTCATAATTCATATAATTACAAACCGCAATAACTATCATAAAAATGAGACTCACACATGTTTCGTGAATAAGATTGACAATACAACATTGAAATATATTTAGCTATAAGCATGATTTGACCTCATTTATGAAATTATTTGACAGTGAAACCAAACATTGTTTAATGCTAAGTGTAACTGATTAAAAAAAAAATTGTCTTCAAGATCCTCATGCTTTACAATAATATAGTATTTTTTTCTTCTAATGGCAGGCACTGAACTTTTACGTGTTTTGCCATGGAAGATACCACAAGTATTACTCATGTAACATTACCCATTGGACACCTGTGAACCTAAGTCACGAAGGCGAGCAACATTACTCACGCCACAGATACCCATTTATAGGGTGAGCCACATTCACACAATAATGAACAACACAGAGAGAACTATCCACGCCCTGAGCAGGATTTGAAATTGCAGCCATTGGCTTCGCAGTCAGGCATGCTAGCCGCTCGACCGTCTGGCCGGCATAATAATATAGTATAACATATGTTGAAGTACACAACTTCGCAGTTGATTATGTTGACAAAAAAGAAGCCAAATTTCAATTGTATTAATCCAGATAATTTTAATTTTTCTTTTTAAAAAAACAGAAAATAAATTTCAAGCTGGAATTTTATAAAATTGCATACTTTCTGGAGGATATGTACATCCAGAGAAAATTTCCAAATCAGTACTGCACCAAAATTATAGCTAAATTTTGACTATAAATGCGCAGTGGTATTCCATAAATTAATAATATAGAAGGGAACCACCTGAAAGAGACCTGGGCAAACCACATTAAAAAAAAAATATTTGCGAGTGCAAAAGCCCTTAGGCACCTTGAGGATATTGTTGGTGTGAAAAAGTACCGATACGGAAGCATTCCCTACAGGTAGGACTATTTTACTTATGCCTTGCTTTGATAGTTGTAAGTTACAAACTGAATAAAATAAAGAATCCTCATGACAAAAATTTTAATGCGGCTTTATTTTAATGACTGAAAAACAAATATTCATAAGAAAAAAGCTACACATACATTCTGTGTGTGATAAATTCACTAACTTTAAATATACCAATAGTTTTAAATATTAATGCTTATTTTTATATTTCAAGGGAAACTTGATGATATGATATAAAGTACTTTTCCTTATCCCAATTGATACAGTTAAATTAGTTTCAAGTATCTGAAAAGGTAAAATAAAAAGGATACGATTCACATAACTATCTAAGGTAGAAGCCATTTCAAAAGAACTGAATAATAATAATAACAACGTATTTTTTAATGAAAAGAAATCGTTTGTTTATCTTATTTTCTTGCTTTCGGGTGACTATTTCTGCCTAATTCAAATCGACAGATTTACGATCGAAACCTAGCTCGCTTAATGCGCTTTAAGCTTACACTATGAGAAAATCGCTTTATTTAGAGAAGTATATTAACAGAAATAGACAGCTAAATGCGTATAGACAGTAATCAAAATAAACATCTTCGAAATGTGATTTTTGTATTTAAATAATTATAAATTTATCCGTTAATAATCGACGAAAATCTCTCATAATGTCTAAAGTACTTTTGTCAAAGCATAAAAGAGCTAAGCAGTGGGCTGTTTTTTGCCGTTTGTGGCATGTATACGATGCAAAGTGGCAAAATCCATTTGACTCAGCTGATTTAATCGCTAAGTATCTCTCTGGAAAGCACAAGCCTATATTTCACACTCTCAGTGATTGTGGAGATCATGTTGTTGTGATCAATACATCTGAAATTGCTATGCCTGATACTGAATGGAGGTACCGGATGTATCAGCATCACACAATGCGTGGCGGCGGAGAAACTTTTACACCTGCATGGGAGTTACAGAATAAAGATCCAACTAAAGTAATGTGGAAAGCCTGTTATAAAGCTTGTGGTCCTACTTTATTGAGGGGTACAAGAATGCAGCGCTTGCATCTTTTTCCAGATGATGTTATCCCTGAAGAAATTAAAGTGAATATTTGTTCTCAAATAAGGCAGCTTAGACCTGTGCCTAAGAAATTAAGTCAATATACTCAGGAAGAATTGAACGCATTTCCTAAATTATTTGAGTGGCCTGAAGATTACTGTAAACAATAACCAAATTAATTTGTTAAATCATTTAATGTTTATTCTTTTTAAAATGTACTAGTTATGTGTTTGTAGAAATAACGAGTAATTATTGAAAATAAATCTTCCTTAATACAAATGCAGATAATTATTTTTAGTGCTTGTTATTTTGAAAAAAATGTTTAATCCAGGTTCAGAGTTAGCATGATCTAAATCACTTATATTTCTTTTCAAAAATAACATTAGGTCAAAATTCTTTTTTTACAGTATTACTTATAAATAAATTCTTATGATTGTGCTTTATTTTGAACTCTGATTTCACCGAGACTGTAGGGTTTTTTCCTGTGAAATTATGAAATGGGATTATAAATGAAAATTATTATTGGTCAAAATTGATTAAAAGAAAGAGACCTATATGGAAAAAAATGTGAAATTTATAAATTAAAACTTTTGATCAGTTGTACAAAAAGTAATTTGTTGTTTAATAAACATACTTCAACTACAGCCGTTTAAATACAAATTTATGAAATTGATTCTTCCCCTTCCTTTTCAGATGTAAATAATTTTTTCTTTATTTCATATCTTACTGACGAACTGGGCCTTTGTTCTTACAAATTTATGAGGGTGTGCTTGCAAAAAATAGAAAAATCTTATGCAGAGCTCATTCTAAGCAGGGTAAACAGGGAGCAGCACCCTGCTGCCCTTTTAGTCAAAAGGATCCACCCTGTTGCCCCTGAAGTAAATTCATACCCTTTTTGCGCTTTCTTTCCTCAACCCTTCTTTAATTGCAACTCTTTTTATTTAGTTTGTCAATACATACATAGTTTGTCAATACATAGATTTATATGGGAAAGGAAAAATAGCCATCACACCCACTTCTTGCACTTGTCTTTGAAAGTTTGCAGTTACTTCCACTATCTCTAAATCATAATTATTATTAATCATTTTAATTATTAATTCATAACTACAGACACTTAAAAACATACATTATTTTATTAATATATGCTTCCATTTTAAATAAATTACTAAGCTAATTAGCTCATTAACTCGATATATGTTAATGAAAATTAGTAATTAATATGATTGCTTTGCTACTTTTAGTAAAGTAAAAAAAAAAAAATTTCTTTTACTAATTGACAATGTTTTTTAATTGAACGTGTAAAGCCCATAAAAAGAAATTATTGCCTTTTTAGAATAATAATACCCTTTTTTTAAACTTTTGCAGCCAGCCCTTTTTTCTGCTTAGAATGAGCTCTGTCTTATGGTTTTACTTATTTAGTGATCAGTTTGTAATAATTATTTAATCATTTCAAAATCACTTTAACTATGTTGTTAAATAATACTAAGCATTATTATTAAATATAATATTTTATCAGTGTTTAATTGAAATAAATGTAAAAAAAAAAAAAAAATCAGATTTTTTTTTCTATTATGATTTTTGTTTAATCCTAATTCAAGTCCAATATCTTAATTTTATGTTGAGTAATTTTTTTTATATGGAATAGGTAAGGTCCAGGTAAATACCTAGTTAGTAAGGTATTTATAATTTGGTATTTACCCCATAATTTTTTATATGGAGTAATTTTTTTTATATGGAATAGGTAAGGTCCAGGTAAATACCTAGTTAGTAAGGTATTTATAATTTGGTATTTACCCCACATCTCTCTCTCTTCTTCTCTCGATAAATGTTCGAATTCAAAGTATTTTTAGTTTTCAATTATTATTAAGGCACATAATGTTGAGTTGTCTTGATTATTTTTCTTAGAATATAAGGTAAATTTCTTTAATTTGTACAAATAAACTTGTCATTTAAAATATAACATCTACTGAAAAAATAAATAAAATATTTAACTATCCAGTGTAAAAGCCAAATTTGTTTAGGCCTTATTATATTAAAAAATTATGGCAAAAAGATTTATAGAGTTTAATGTAATCAGGTAGACATTAAAATAAGTCTTTAAAACTATTTTTTACAAAAAAAAGTGAAAACTGCATAAAAATGAAAGAAACCCCCAAAACATACTGAGATTTTTTTTATTTAAAACATATAAAATTTTTGTAAATACAGTCTTAAAGCAAATTATAACAGAATTTGCTAATATAAATAATTTTATAAATCTCATTTAAATGTTAAAATCTGTAAGAGAATATATATTGAGGCTTAATATTAGTTAAGAGAAATTTGCTAACTTTTTTTATGCAAAATGTTTTTGTTTATGTGTTTATTTTAAATATATTAGTTAAACATTTTATTTGAAATTAGTTGATATTTTTGCATTTTTTTGAATCCATCCTATTTTTTGAAAATAATAATTTTATTTTTAAAATTTAATTATATTTTTAACAAATTCTCCCTTTTGATATAAAAGAAGAAATATTAAATTGCGCAATTTTATTTTTACTGTAATCAGTTATTTTTAAACTGTAAGCAAAACTCAACTAATGTTCCTAAATACAAATTAAAACTTTTTTAATGCCATGTTTAAACAAAAAGTAGCTATTGTTAAAAAAAAAATCTGCGTTTTTTAAAATTTACTAATGTTCTGTTTTCTATATGTCCTTCAAATTTATAATTACTTAATTTTCAAAAAAAATTAAATTCCAGGAAGTTTATGTGCTTATAATTATATAATACTAATTTTTTTTTCCGATAGTGTACAATGCATAAAAAAGTGAACACCGTTGTGACAACCATGGTAGCCGCTATCTTAAAAATAGAATCACAATAGTTTAGTTAAGAGAGCAATGTAAAGTTTGAACCACTTAATGTTTTTACTTTTTGCATATTTCTTTTAATCAAATTGAAAAATTTTTTGCATACAATTTCAAAATTCTCTTATCCAAAGATCATTCCATACAAATAATAATCTGTCATTTCTACTCTTATATTTAAGACCAGAAACACTGTTCAATATCTTTTATTAACAGCAAAAATTTAAGTTTATTAGAAAATATATTTGTAATTTTCATACATATATATCACTTATCAGTCAGCTTATTAACATAGATTTCAGGTATGACAATGTTTTAACAATTGGCAAAATAGTCGTTACGAGTTTGAGATTCCTTATTATTGAGGGTCACTTAAAATCAGCAATTCCCATGTTAAAATGCATTTTTTTCATACTTATTAAACCAAGGTTTGTAATGACTTAACCATGTTCATTATTAGCGAGTATCAGAAACAGTTCAGGCTGCAGCACTTTCTGTTGTAATCAATTTTGAAACTCGGAGAGAAAAATAATTTGCTTCCTAAGCAGAACGCAGCATATTTTTCTGTATGTAGGTCAATTTTTTTGGGCATTTGGTATAAAATCCTAATTCTCCAAGTGTTTAAAAAAATGATGCAGTTATAAAGTTTTGAAACCATGTACTACTTCTTAGAGGTTTTTATCTCATAAAACTTCTAAGAAGTCCTCTTTAGTCACAGGGTCATGGAGCACATATTTATAAAACCTAATAAATATGAGTTCCATGGCCCTGTGGCAAAAAAAAGTGATATCATTTATAAAATCATTTTAATACTGCTAAGCTTAATGATATTTTAGAATTTTTAAAAAATATTAATAAAAGAAAATGGGAATTGCTTAAAGTGAAATTTTTTTGGACTAAATAAGCTAAAGAATGTTTGATGTAGCAATTTATAGAAATAATAATTCATAAAAGTTTCAAAGGGCTTGGTTTGTTGTACACGAAATTTAATATTAAGAACCCACATACATGTACTGGATGTGTATCATCTGGTCTCCTCACAGCCAAGAGGTACTTAACTGATATTCCATCCTTTTACATACAAGAGCTAATTTAAAAATAAAGTTTGATATTACAGTATATAATATAATTTGCCTTTGGTATAATATTTGATACAGGCTTTTGTAGAATTAAAATCTACATCCAATTAAACTAGGCTAATGCAAACTTCATTTTTTTCTAAACAATTTCCAAACTACATGAAGAACGAAAACAAAATTATAACAAATCATGTATTTATGATTATTTTAAATGCAATCATATTACATGAAACCAATTTTGTTTACTTATACATCTCCTTCACCCTTTTTATATTTTTTGAGATTATTTTGGAATTTTTCTGATACCGCACATAGCTGTGGTATTGGCGGTAAAGTGCTTCGAACTTTCTGATATTCTTGAAGGCGTTGGTCCAAAGTTTCAATTTTGGCACTAAACACTCTGGGACAAAGTCTTACTTCTTGAGGAGTGTATCCTTTTTCAAACAAAAAATGGATGATCTATAAAGTAAAAAAAAAAATTGCAAAATAATAAGTTAATAAACAAAAATAAAATTAATCTTATTTCTTGTCTTTAAAAGATACAATTTTCACATGATTGGCAATAAAATAATAAAGAATTTCAAAATTTGTAAGAAAGAGAAAATGAAATCAAATTTTTAGCACACATAAAAGTTTAAAAGTTTGTTAAGGTCCATTATCCCTTTATTTTTTAGGTACATAAATATTGGTTTTGATTATTTTTTAAACTAAAATTAAACCAAAATTTGTGCAATTATAATGTATGCTATAATATAATTCATCTTAAAAGAAAAATAATTTAAATTATAAACATGTGACTGAAAAAATTAATAGTATGAGGAAAACTTGTTAAAACAATAAAGAATCTGAATACAATTTAAATATTTAACAAACATCACATAAATCAAATGTACCTGATTTAAACTACATATTTAACAAATTTTTGCCCAAAGGTGTGCAAACGCACCATTTCAATAGATATTTTTTTATTAAACGAATATTTTTCACTAATATTATTTTTCTGCTATTGTCAAGGGTTCTGAAGACATCGATAAAATATTAGTAATTCAATTAGAGGAAACACTTTCTGTTGATAAATTGTTAAACTAATCTAGCTTATTTACTTAAAACGGTTATTGACAAATGAAGTTTTTCGAAAATGTTTAATTATTCATTTTGAGATTTAATAAATGTTTTTAGGATGTATTAATGTTACAAGTTAGTAAGTAAAAAAAACAAGTATTAAACTAAATGGTTTGTTCATTGATTTAGTGAATGGCGCTTATGTGTACCATTTTATTTCTTAAATAAAATAGAATTTTTTATGCATGAATTTTTTTTGGTGTCTTAATGTAACGCAAGCTTATTTCAATTAAAAAAACACATTTTATAAAATTTCTATGCTTTGCCTAAAATAAAACTGTTTGTGAAGTCTTATTTTTATTCAATGAAACTAAATTTTCCCTTCCATTTACTGCAAAACAATTTTAAATATCTTCATTTGCACAATTTTTACTTTTTCTTAAAAATCAACTTGCAATAAATATGAGTTTTTAGATTAATAAAAATTATACATCAAACAGCTTTAAACAATTTTAAAAAATTTCCAGCTGAGTTATGCTTTCTATTTTATGAATTATATTCCTAGAAACAGCTATATAATATATCATAGTTGCAGTTTAAAAATATAAATAAACATAATAGAATATAAAATATAACATAATAGAATAAAATATCATAGTTGCAGTTTAAAAATAGAAATGTATGTAAATGGTTATTTTCGCTACTGACCAATGGCCAAAATCTAGCACATTTCTTTAACACTTAACACATTAGCAAAGTTATCCTTTAATTAGTATTGCAAACAGGTTCTATAAAACTTTTTTAATAAAAAATGTAAGATTATAGTTTCAATACTACGTTCTGCCTCACTAAAAAGTATTGAAACATTGTACACATACATTTCTACAAGCATAGGGAATTTCCCCCCCCAATAATCATGTCAATGAAGATAGTTAAAGTCGATAAACAGAATATAATACAGGGGGGATAGCCACCTTTTAAGAGCTAAAAGAATATTTTTAAGCGCTATATATGTTAACAAGATGCAAAATAGTTTTCAAAGACTTTACATGATCAAGAATAAAATAACTAGGTTTTGATAAAGAACTCTTTTCTTGATTGTGTTAGCCACCATAAAAAGATAGAGAGATTTTTGGTTCGATTTCAGAGGGTGGAAAATAAAACCTTAAATTGAGAATATCTTGCAAAATGCAGCTGAGTTGCACATGAGAGTGCAAGAATCTTACAGAACTCAGCTCAGTATATGTACATGCGGACCCACAAGTATCTCATCAAACATGTAAAATGATTGGCGCTTTCATACGCTACAAACCGACGGTACCTCGAAATGCATTGTGTTTGAATGAATTGTTAAAGCGTAGAATAGAACAATGTGAAAACCCTGCTTTGGCAAAAACGGCATGGTAAAAAAAATCTCATTTTCGAAAAGGGAAAATTAATCACTTTTTAAAAACACCTTTAAGGACTTTTAAAAAACGAAAATAAACACCTTTAAGAACTTTTTAAAAACAATATGCACCATGTAATATTCACATAACGTTAAACAAGTAGTGAATTTTGTTATAAAAATTAATGACTACCAACCTTACCTGATTGATTTTAATGGTATTTATTGTTTTTAGAAGTCTATTCTTTGCCATTAAATGCTTCACATACTCTTCACTACAATCTAGTTTAGTAGACAAATACTTAACAATATCATCTCCTTCTAAGATACGTTGAGTTTCTGTATCTTTGTTAAGTTTGGATACAAAAAACTTATTGGAGCAACGAAGCATCCACGGTTTTAATTTTAAACCAGCCTTTTCAGCAGCAGATATTCGATTGGACAACAGCATTTCATTATAATTAAATATCCAAAGATCTTTTACTAAGTCTTGTGGGTTTATCTCGGCACTTTTCAATACATTCATTTTATGATCCAATCTACTAAATGGCATTGTTAACAATGATGAGTGCTTCGTAAGGGCGGGTATTAGTTCTTCTATGGGAGTTTCCAGATGATGAGTCAAATATAAAATGCGATTAGGAAAACCTGTAATCTCATGCTTGTCTTCTTTCGCTTGCTGGGCAGCATTACGAAGCGATTGAAGTGAAAGGTTCATAAAAGGTATCAATTCCAAAATATCTGCACCTAACTCAGCAATTTGCAGAACTTTAATGTATGAGCTGTTTGAAGGTGTTAAAAAGTTCAAACATTTGTCCTTGATATTACTTATTTTGTATCCTTTAGATACAAGGAAGTCTAAAACTTTGATCAATTCTTGTTTACAGAGTTCATTAGAATTTTCTGTCACTATGAGATCTGCTAAATGTTGAATTTCTTCAGCTGCACTTTTTTTATTTAAACTCTGAGATGTATGCATTTTTTTAATGTTGGTACATCTCTCAAAAGAAAGGTAAGAGTTTATGTTCATGTATAAAAGTACTTTTCTTGGCACAAAAAAGGATTGAAAACAATTGCTTGTTCTTTGTTTTACAATATTACTAAATATATTATTTCTTAAAATGAAGTTAAGAGACTTGTAGAAACCCATTTTACAGTCAAATTAATTATGTTCTGAAAAAAAGAAAAGAAAACATATAATATAAAACCTAATTTATTAATTAAAACAAAACAGACACTAAACAAATTAAAGGATAAAGCACTATTGAATAAATAAAAAAAAAAATATCAAAGTCAATATTTGTAATGTGACTAGACTTTCTGATTTTTATTAAATTTCCCAGCTTTTTGCAACTGTTATTTTAAATTTTTCAGTTCTACTTAATCATACATATAAAATATTTCACAAAACTTTTTCACCACTTTTGAATATGAAAATAAACAATCTTTTTAAACATTGTTACAAAAATAAGTATATAAGTTTTTTATATTGAAGACTAAAATTTATGAATTTGATAGTGATTCAACAATAAAATCTAACTTATCTTATACAACCTTTTTATATAATTTTATAAGTTTAATAAAGGCATAAATTAGGCAAAAAATATTTATTACATTTATATTTATTAAACTGAACTAAAATCAAATTTTAGAAAATACCTTTCTTTCATCAATCATCAAATCAATCTTTGCAAAAAAATTAGAGTTTAAGATTAGGTACTTTAAAATTAGATTGAGGTACCAACTGAAACTAATTTCTTTTTGGTGATTTTTTGGTAGTTTAAGTCAATTGTTTGACATTTCTGTTTTTTAGATTGACAAAATTGTAAAATTTTCCCTATTTTATTTTAAAATTTTAAACTTTTTAAACCTACCTGATTTTTTCCCGTTTTGTGGTCACCGTATAAAGTGATGAGAATGAAATCATTCTTAATAAACTAATTTTGTAATTTAATTTTAACTAAGCAATGTAAAATTAACCTAATTGTTCTCACATTAGTTGATTTTGAACAAATGATAAAATATAAGATATTTTTCTTTGTAAAATACACATAAATAAGAATAGGCTATGTTTTTGAATTATACTTAAACAATAATCAGATTACATCACAGTTGTAATTTAGTTAATTAAAATGCAAGTGAAATTGAGAGAAACTGAAAACATAGTGAAAGTAATTTCAAACACAATCTCAACCTGTATGATAATAATTTTAACAAGTAATGTAACATAAATCGAATTGTTCAAACATTTTTTTTTTTCTTCTGTGAATATACTTAAATAAGAACAGAATTGAAGCTATAATCTAGTTTGGTGGTACACAAGCGAAAATTATAGGAGACATAGAAAAAGAAATTTGAGCCATACAATTTCAAAATTAAAATGAAATAGTATAATTATGATTTTAACAAAATGAAGTAAAATAATTTAAGTCAATGTACTTTCACAGGAAAAAAAGTGCAAAATATACTTGAGTAATGAGAGAACATAAGCTATCATCTGGTAGGAAAATTACAAATATTTATTCTAGAATGAAATTGTGAGAAAACACAATGAAAAACAATAGCAAGCAAATTTTGAAGTTGACACGAAACTATATAAATTATGAAAAAAATAATAAAAATAAATCACTTTGACATTAGCTGATTTCAAATTATTAAAAAATAATAATTTTCCTGGGTGAAATATACTTAAATGATGATAGGGCTAAAACTATCTTCTGGCACGATTTGAAAATCTAAGCACAAGAATAAAATTGAGTCAAAATATAAAAGAAGAAAATTGTTAAATTTTTTCCAATTAAAAAAAATTCTTAAGATGTTTTCCATTGTAAAATATATTAGAATAGGGTTTGAATCAAGGTTATCTGGTTTAAAAATCAGAATAAAAGTATCTTGGTAAGAATGAAACTGAAACAAATATTTTAAGAATTAAACATGAAAAATGCCATTAAACTTAAAAAAAAAACACTACATTTATGACAAAATAAAGACATTTTTTTGGAACAGTATATATGCGTACCATACTACTTATAAAAATGGCTAACTAAAAAGTATAATTTGCTTTACTTAAGTGTAATAAAAGTCCCTAAATTGGAACTAGCAAATTTTTATTTCTAGTAACATTATCAATTAAAATAAAAAGATATTGGATCAAAAATCCAAATCTTTTAGCTCTACAAATATAATTTTTAAAAAATACATATTTATATTCTTAGATAAGAGTACATGCCAAAAATCAGAAATATCAAGACAAAAAAAAAAAAAAAAAAAAAAAAAAAAAAAAAAAAAAAAAAAAAAAAAAGCAAAAAAATAGGTCAAAATATTTTTATCAAGAAAATTAGGACAACTATGAACCTTGTATTAATCAAGAAAAACAAAAATTTTAAATTGCAGAAATAAAAATATTTGAGGACAAACTTGTGTACTAAACAATTAAATCTTTATCGATGGATTTAGAGAAAATCATCAGCTTATTTAATAATCACATTTGCTGAAGTAGGATCTATTTTAAAAAGAATAAGTTTTTATTATTAAACGTATAAAAATAAAATTCCTTAAAAAGAGAAACTTTATTGATTATTATCAAATAGAAAAGTTTTTTAGAGTGTTTAACAGTTTAAAAAAAGTCAATTCAATTAAGCTATAGTTTTTGTAGTGAACATTAATGAATCAATTAAAAATAATTTTTTAACACTAAACTCATAAGCAGTTTATTTATTTTTTGCATTTCCCAATTAATATATGTAGTATTTTACAAACTAATTTCTGGAATGTAGGGAAATATTTAATTAACTATACTACTGATGTTTTATTGATATATCTTATAATATGTACTCAAAATTGTAAAATCAGTGTTATAAACTACATTTGAGAAAAATTAATAAAAAGAAAACACAAAGGAGGTGGAAAGATTACTGTGGTACTTTTGGATCACAGTAGCAGTGTAACAACATTATGAATGCACACAAGATGTAATAACTTTATGAATACAAGTACACAGTTTTATTTTATTATTATTACTTTTTTTGTAGCAAATATTCCTGTTGCTTTAAACATTTTCTATAGAAATAAGTAATTGAATACTTTCTTTTAAAAAATCGGACTTTTATTGCATTACCTTTTTTTAACATTGAACTGAATTGACTTAAATGTGGGGTCTAATGACAAAATGTCTAAAAATTAATCAGTAGTTTGGAAATATCAGTTGTAACAAAGATGAAATGTGTGCCAGGATAGTTTTAACATGTGTTGAAAGAGGCATTGGATAACCGAAAGATCAGGTGTCAGAGTTCTACTGTATTATTAAAATTCACACTCTTAAAAATATCTTTCTTAGGAAATATAACAGCTTTTAACAGTACTTTGTCTGCCGGTGACAAAAATGGAATAAATAATATTTCTTCCTTTTTAATATTCAAGGTATTGATAACCAGCTCTATTTTGGACTTCCCATATCACTTTTAGGTCATTTGAGCTTTCCTTCATTTCATTAAGTGTTGTTTACTGCTGTACGTGCTTTTAGAAAAATGATGTTAGATATGAATTCAAAGAAAAATTTTTTCCAACACAAAAATAATCAACCATACATTGACTGACATTTTTTTTCCAATTATTGTAACATATTTTTTTTAAAGTTTTTATTTTCTATTTTATTTTGTGACATGAAGAAAATGACACTAATATATAATTTAAAAAGAAAAAAAATTAAAATTCAGATGAGAAAATTTTTTTTGAAAAGGAACACCAGAGCGTTGTCACTCTTATTGACACAAGGCACACATCTTTTAAGATAAATTTATTTATTTATAGCATTGTTCTATAATACATTGTGTTCTTTTATTGAATATGTATTAATTACAATATAACCATACAGTTTTTTCTGCTTTTAATGGTTTACTCATTTTTCTTCAATTGAAGAATATCAATTAAATATTCACATCAGATTTAATTTGACCGCTAATTAGGTTAGTTTATAAATAAGCCTAATGCATTACTAATATAATGTTATCATATAATATTTCATTATACAATTAAGTATATTTATACTTACAATATAGTAATGATAACTACTGTACACTATCTGTACAGATATGAAATGAAATAATCATAGTTATTTTATGCATCCTATAATACCTTTCCAAAAGGTATTAAAGTATTACACATTTTACTGAGAACCAGGAAAAAATGGATGGATATGATTAATTGGAAGCACAGATTATAACAGGAAAACAATTACGCTGTAGAACCAGGACTAAATGAATCTCATATACCGAAGTAAAGTTAACATAACTATAACATCACTTAATATAATTTTTGCTACAAACAAAGTAATTGTCAGGAATTCTTAATTCCATCATTAATATAACTTCTTAAAAAGGTTAGGTAAAAAATCATCTAATCATTATCAACTTTGACAGATAAAAACCAAACTTTAAGAATGTTTTTTGAAACTCTTCCACAAGAAAAAATAAAAAATGTCACAATTCTGATCAACTTTTGATTCATGTAATAGCATTTAAAAAAAAGAAGTTTCCCTTTCGATGAAAATTATTAAAAATCAATGAAAAATACTCGATTTTTGCCAAAATGAGCTCATAGTTATCCAATAAGCTTTAATGAGCCCAAACTAATTTTTAACTCGAAGACTCTTCATAATCCAGGTTCTACTATATCCACTTTTACAAAAATTATAACATTCTAATTTAATAAAAGAATAATTGAAAAACAAAACATAGATAAAAATTCTTTATAGTAAAAACATTAAAGTTTTTCAAATTATAAAACAGCCCAAAATGGTAAATAAATCTATAATATAAAATAACGAAAAAAAGTAAATAATGAGTTCCACAGTTCATATCATAGTAAAATAAAATATACACCAAGTGAAAAATAATATTTTTCTCATAAAAAATATGGTTTTAAAAAGAAATTGTAAATAAAAAAGAACTTCAATTATCTGAACTCTAATTATCTGGATAACCTTGATGAATAAAATGAAACAAACAATGGGATTTTAAGGATAGATATAGTAAATTTGATGCAGTAAGTTAAATTTGAAGTGGTTAGATGTTATCAAAAGAACTAAAACCAGTGAAAAATGTAAAAATGGGAGAAAATCAAGTTTTTGAAGTCATAACTTATTAGATGAGTAAATTGAGACAGGGTAGGTGAAAATATTTACTTTTATGCAACTAACTTAAATAATACTACATATTTAATAAAAATAGAGTCTTCAGCCTTTATTAAATGATAAAAAATTATAGGCTACAGAACAATTGATATATAAATATAATTAACATTAATATCATGAAAGTGAGTTTTGATTATCATATAATATATAATGCCATTTAATCAGAGCATAGCAAAATTATTCCTGCTCGACAGTTCAAACTGGGACAGAGCTGGGGCCAGGGTGGGTCTGCTGCTGGTCCGACGTGTGTAAGCTGCTGATCATACACACGTCTGACAACTGTTGGTAAAGTGTTAAACTACATTAACAAGGCAAGAAAATCGAACAGTATTATAAATTAAGTCTGGTAGAATAAATAACAGAAAAGAGTAGGCAATATAGTTGGATATCTAAAGAGAGCAAGCTTCTTGAGGAAAGTAGATAGAAGGCAAGTATAAAGGCAGCTTTAAAATTCCGAGGCATCTTTGAGTTAGATTTCAGTGGTGAGAAGTTATCAGTAAATCCAATGCAGAAGAAAATATTGCACAATTAAAAAAAAAAAAAAAAACCTCTTTCAGATATTTAAATATCTAATCTAATTAATCCATAATTGGAGTTTGACCACATTATAAAACATAAAAAACTTTTATATCAGTACACAAAATGCATAATTAAAATTAACAATAGTACTAACAATAAAAAGTAATATAAGATTCTTTTGAACTTCGGTTTTCCAAAATTTAGATAAGTATTTAATAAATAAGCAAATGTTACATATTACAAAAATAAATAGAAGAAACATTTACTTTTACAGTAAATTTAAACAAAGGAAAAAAAAATGTTCAAGTGCTTAATGTATATTTTGAATTTACTTAATATATGTTTCTTTAAATACATGAAAAAATATCATAAAATGGGTATCCTTTTAGTTGAAATACGTTTTTAATGTAATAATGAAAGGAATTGCAATTGATTTTTAAACTTGGCCATACTACTAAGATACCTGGAGATCTTTGAGTGCAAATTAATAAATTTTTCAATCAGTTTAATAAATTAAAATAGGATTTCGTCTTCTAGTTCAGCATGATATAATTTGAAAATGGTTATAAAATTAAGATGAACTTGCAAAGTGTTATTAACTAAAGCTAACATCAAGTTAAAAAGGAAAAAAAAAAAATTCATTTAAATAACATTTGATTGAATGGTTTGATTTTCATTTATGAAGTTGGAGTTTTCTTAACTAAAATTGAAGGACTCACTTTGGATATGTTAACTATGTTTTATTACGTTTTAAGTAAATTCTGAAATTAGATAAGATAATTTCTCAGAATAAACAAGTTTTCATATAGTTGACTATTTCAAATTAAAAACAGTAAAATAAATGGAGGTGTGATCATCATTAGGATTTCATAATAGCAATAGTGTTTTCACTTGAAAGAAAAATCAGTAGAAAAAGGAGATAACATGGTAAAATCTATTTCCCTCCCAATACTTTATAATTCTATATTTAAAAATTTCAGTTAAAATAAAGATAAGTATACAAAATTAATTTTTCCTGAAATTATTTACAGGAAATGTACTATAGTTAAACAGCCAAACCACTATAAGGTTGGCAGTAAAAATAAATAAATAAAATCAGATTGAGACATGCAATTTTACCATTGATTCAATTTGTTCATCATTGTTGGTTAGTAGAAAACTTTGGAAACTGAGCGAAGGCACTTTAATTTCATCGAAAAAGGATTCTTAGAAATTTATTATTTTTAAGAATTGAAAAAAAAAAGATAAAAAATAAGAAAAGGAATAAAATAGTCATATAACCCTGATTTCACAGGCTTAAATCCTAAATACAATAACAAAAATGTCACACATAATTAAGCACATAAATTGTGCTTGAAAAAAGAAAGGAATAGTAAAATCGTACTGGAGAACCTATTTATTAGATATCATACAATATAAATTATATGATAAGAGATACAGTATAAATATGAATAAAATACCAGTATTATTTATTACAAAACATGGCACAGATAGGAAACAAAAGTATTAAATGAAGAACAAGTAAACAATGCATTTAAAGCATTACCCTAAAAGCATTTAACAATATATACATGTTTTAATAAAAAGTGAGAAATAAATATAATATTAAATATAAGAGTTTGCATATTAAATATAACAGTTTAAATTTTGGTAGCAATGGAAATTTAAAAAAACAGCTCACCTCAACGTTCTTGATTTAGTTTAAGAAGGGTAGTCAAACACTTTTTTTCTAAATATATATCATCTAATCAAAATCATCAAATTTATTGGAGATTTTGCATCATTAGAGAAGGAAGAGAATAAAAGACACTCATCACTCTTTTTATTGATTTCAAAACCTGCAAAATTAGCTTTTGTAAATTGTCAGAAAAACATAAACCACTATATCGAAAGTGATCATTATTTTAAAAATCAAAATGAGAAACATGCAAACATAATCCTCATTATATAATTTTACACATTATGTGTTCTGCAGATTTTTTTTTTAAAAAAAAAGCTGTAAAGACAGATTTTAGCAGCAGTAACCAAAATGTTTAAAAACTGCATCATAGATGAAATTTTTTGTTTTAAAATTTATTTTAAAGCTTGTGATAAAAATGTGAAACAAGCGCTTGGGACAAGGGAAATAAGGTTTTTCTCAAAAAAGAAATAGGCAAGATTTACAAACATCCAAATTTTATTTTGATAGATAAATAATAAGCAATTGGAAAAATGGACAGTGAAGTGAAATGTATTTTTTAACTTACATTTTTAACTTTCACTTTTTAAAGCTTCAACTTATCACAGGAATTTAACAATCATATAAAGAGATTGCTTTTGTTTTAGCTCCAATTTTATAGAAATTAATGCTATTTGACAGAAAGCTGTAATTTCTTTCAAAATAAATACTAATACTCTCTTTATAGTAGCAACATGTAAAGAAAACAGTGAGTTTTTAAACAGCCACATATTAATTTCAACAATGATCAGCTTGCAAATGGAGGTTAAGATTTATAATCAGACTATTTAATAGACTCTGAGGTACTAGACACAAACACTTTTAAGAAAAACTAAAAATAGGAATCTAAATATCTATTTATTTGTAATTCAGACTCGTAGCTAGGTGATAATATTTAGAATGGGGGGTGTCTAAATATTTGTAAAAAAAATTTCTGACTGTATAGATATATAATTTTTATTCTGAAATAAAAAAAAATTTGAAATGTGTGAACCACGTTTTAGTTACGCCTCTGCTTATAATGTTAAACGCATATTTAATGGCACAAATTAAGAAGTTTTAAAACTATCAATTTTGTTGTAAAACATGTTGTGGGAGATGTAACACAGATTTATTCTATTTCCTTAAGTCTCAAAATAAGTCAGTTTTTAATAAAAAAAAAGATTTATTGTATTTAGGTTTCTTATGTTAACATACATTGTGAACTATATTTTTTCCAAATTTACAGAAATGTCACAATAGATAGTCTAATACAGTAAACATATAATATTAGTCAGCAAAATGTAAGAATTAGGCAGTTTTCAATAGATGTGCTATAAAAAGGTCGATGTTTACAATACATTTTAAAGCTCATTCTTCCAAATTTATAGTCACAGAACAAGTTAATTCAGTAAACCTTCTTGCAATATGTTGTTTTTAGTAAATTTAAAAATAAAATGCTTTAAAATTTCAGCTTTAATACATATAAATAGTTGCTATCCTCATACGATTCTTGCTGTACATAGTTATCAATAATGTGGCAAAAATGTTGATTAATTTAAAATATGTCAGTTGGATAAATAAATATATTGAATAACCTAATTAAATTGTTATCTGCAACCTAATTACACTTATATTTTAATATATACTAAACTTTTTCAGAAAATGAGACTTCATAGTTAATACAATGTATATAGCTATTAGATTCTTTATATGTTTATCAGAAATATTAATTGTTAAAGTTAATATTAGTTTTTAAATCATTATTTCTCAGAAACTATACATTCAATTGATTTCTATAAAATTTAAAAAATAACCAGCATAAATATATAGAACTTTGTTAACATATCAACTTAAAAAAATACGGACAAATGAAAAAAAGACATTAGATTAAGGCTATCTCTAATAATGTTACACTGGAAATAAAAATTATGCATATTTATTTCTCACATTTTAATAATTTGAAAAGTAAATAAATATACAATTTCACCAATACATTAAAATAAATCAAGTAAAAATACATATAATTTTCCCTTATTTTCCAAAAATTATTAAGTTATTTGTTGTAAAAGAAAGTTTTAACTCACTAAACATTTGTTCACACAATAAATTTCTATGCAGACTAGATAAACATAGGCTCATATTGAGATTTATGTTTTATAGCAAGAAACAGTGTTAAATTATAATTTTGTATTAAAATCAACAAATGATTTAGTAAAATCTTAAGTACAGTTTGTTTTGATATACTTTGACAATATATTTTTGTAGTCTCAGCTCATTATAGATTTTTTAAGCACAACCTTCACATTTATTTAAACTGGTCCCATTTGAAATAGGTATGTTTAAATTGTCATTAATTACAAGTTTTCATCAAAATCACCTTGCTTTATTAAAACGATTAGCAATACATTGAAAGTTAAATATCATCCAAGTCATTCATGAGAAAATGGAATATAAATGTAGCTTTCTTTCGCTCTGCTGCTTGCTGATTGATTTTTTTCACAGATGTCGACGTTTGGCTATCATTCACGGGTTCACGAAGCAAAATTTCGCCAAAGATTGTGGCCAGCAACTTTCCATCCAGTCTGTTCGATGTACCGTGATGAAGAATCTCTCTCAAAAATGATATTAAATATCTGAAAACACTACGATGAACTCGAGGGATTTCGTTGACGACATTTCTACAGCTGATAAAATTATTCGAACAGTCCAAAGATTTGTAATAAAACTCGTAAGGAATAACAGGCTCCGCAAGAGCTTCCAGAAACAAAAGGAATGATTCAGCCACTGAATGAATCTGACACTGTCCAAGCTCATAAATACCATTATCTAATTTATCTCTTATTTTTTGAAGCTCATATCGAAGACCAGGCTGCAAAAACAAATCTTCCTGCGTTAAACCGAACTTATACAAATGGTCGATGAGAACCCATATCTCCTTAGGAATTTCAAATTGCTGTGGCTTCACTTTGGTATTTGTAGCTATGCTATTTTCTAATTCAAATAATTCCTCTGTAGATACTTCTGATACAGGTACTGATAATCTTACTAAAGCTTCTAATGATGCACCAAAACAACCAGGGACATAAGTACCAGAAACGGTAATAAACAAATCTTTACCTCCTTCCAGATGAAGAACTAATATATCATAAATTTTATCTTTACCAGCGTTTAATTTGTAAGCTATTCTCTTGTCAACAAGCACTTCTAAATCTACATCACATTTTTCTCCAGGTTTTAGGAAAGACATGTATGGTTTGATGCTAAGCCAATCTTTGCAGTATCGAGTATCATTCAACTTTTTCTTAAACTCGAATTGAACGGGAACCTGGCCAGTATTAGCAATTGTTAATGATTGCACCTTAGGTTCGATGAAGTGAACCTTGCCAAAATTTATTTCCAATTTATCGAGGGTCACCTGAGGAAGAAATTCGTTCTCTAGCTTATCCAGCTTTTTCATTACTTCTTCATAAATCTTTCTGTATTTGGCAACATCAACAACTTTCACTTGGGATTCAAAAACAGAACTGACACATTTATGATCACTGTTAAGTAAAGTTGGATGGCTTCTGTAAACCAACTGTTTTATGTTGTTTCCTTTCCACAGAATTCGATCACACCAAGCTGGTGGCCTATTTTTTTCACTTGAATCCCAGCTGTTTGTACCTGTATCATATTTATAAGTAGGGTTGAAAGTGATTAGGCCTTCCGTAAAACCAACAAAAACTTTTTTCAATTTATTTTGGATAGTGAGTTGATCGTGCTCGAGTAAAACTGAATAAGCTTTTTTCTCAACGAGAGCCTTAACTTGCTCATTGTCTAAATCCATAATTCTGTAATTCATATCCCCCATCCAATAAATATGATCATGGTCCTTGATATATTTAGGAGGTTTGAACTGATTGAATGTTATTCTTGAGCAAATGTCGTTGTAATCTTGATTGCGTCTTTCGCATTCATCCATGTGGGCAGCTAAATGACAGTTAACAAAGCAAATTGGAGTTCGATGGAAATCTAAGCGAACCGCAACACCGCCTTTATTGCCTAACCTTCCCATGATTCCAGTCCCTACAGTTTCAGCAGCAACATTCTTTATGTGCTCAATTAGTTCTTCCTTAGCAAATACGATCATCATCATCCCGACTAATCTGATTAATTTAACCATTTTGTACTTTGCTTTTTCGTGAAGACCAGCTTTTACTGCTTCTAACCATTCTTCTTCTTTTGGGGTATCAGCAAAAAGGTAAGCTTCTTTACTGAGATCCAGCTCCTGAAATCCAACAACACAAAAGTCTGGAGGATCAGGATCTACTGCAAGCCAGTCTTGTAGATTGTCTTTAGGAGGAAGACCATTAACATTCCAAGTACCCATGAATACAGTATAGGTTTGCAGGTACACATAATCGTCTTCTCGCATCGTCATCTGAAGACGAATGACACTTTCTCTTGCCGCTAATGGAGTCACACCAAGAGCAATGCTTTGCCTAGGTAAATTACCGAATTCAGGAGACTGCATCGGGCCTTTCGAGAGATCAGACTCGCTGTGTGCTGCCATCAAGTGTGGAAAATATGTATTTTCAAAATCAGACTGGCTGTCATCACAATTCATGGAATTTACAGATTGGGTATCAAGAGAAAGATTGTTCAGGCTTTCTACTTCATCGAGGAAAAATGTAGACTCTTTGATCAAAGGTATTGGTTGATACCTCTGTAGCCACTGGTAATCAGGTGCAGGCCCGATTCTAAGAAAAAACGATTCAGATGCTTTAGAAATTTGCGAAAAGAATGCTTTGGCTTTAGGGTTATAAGGTAGTTCGAATAATAACTTATGTTTTCCGTTGGTAATTTTCAGATAAACATTATCATCTGAGCTAGAGTCACCACCCGTAGTTTCAATGTCGCACCTAAATGAATCATTAACTGCAACAACTTTCTCAATGCGAAAATAATCTTGATTAAGGGTTGAAGTTCGTGTTTGCACAAGAACTAAGATACCATGTTCATCTGAATGTTGTACAAGTGCAACAACACGACTTGATTTAACCCAATCTTGAACAAGACCGGCTTCGATAGCACAAACAACTTTATCACCGTCACACAAAAGCGCTTGTATACCTTGAATCAGATCCATGACTATGTCAGTTAATATATATCATAAACACACTTATAGATATTTAACTAAATGAAAGTTTCAAGATACGTTTCCTTAACATGAAATCTGAAGTGCTTAAAAACGTTTCTTTACACGATCACTAAAAGAAATAAGAAGTTAATAGTACACATACGAGAAATATATTATTTAAAACTCACACTAAAAGACACATTATTTCTAAATATGCATCACATCATTCGTTTAAAAGATTGAAGAACGAAACAAGTGCCTATTTACAAAATATTCGATATCGATTCCACCCAACCGACCAGAGAATAGTTGTATTTTGCTTTCGGGTGGCGAATTTGTGTGCTTTTAAAGAAGTAATAACAATACATTTAACAACTTTCGATTTCAACTCGTTCCTCCAGTTTCAATCTTTTTTCTAACACTTTTGTACATTTTACGAAACACAACGCGTTGAAAATTGATGCGTTATTATTCGCTATCCATTTACCAAAAACAACCTTTTACTTTACTTTAAGTACTTTAAAAATTAGAATGTTTCATTTTCAGAAATAAAATTATTATTTTAAGCGTCATTTCACTATTTGAAAAGGTTTCTGTTCTTTTACTTTCCTTTCCATTCCAGTTAGGGACCATTCACACTGAATGCGAAAAATTCGTGATTGCGAATTCGGAGCTGCGAATGAGAATCTGATTGGTAAAATATATTTTCCCTTCAAAAACTTCTCGTTTGCAATTTATCTCTATTGTTTATAATTATTTTTGAAATAGAAACTACTGCGTGACATTCCAACTGCTAATGAAAGTTAGGGAAAATATCTTGTATGCAAAAAAGTTAATTTATTTTTTGCTTTAGAAGAAATAAAACTCAAAATTTATGTTGTTGTTGTTGCTGTTAATTTACGTCGCACTAGAGCTGCACAATGGGCTATTGGCGACGGTCTGAAACATGAACATAACAATGCATGATGAGTTTAAAAATCACTCGCAAAAAAAAANAAAAAAAAAAAAAAAACATATTCCTATTTATTTTTCAAAAATAAGATGAGTGCAATTTTTTTCCTGAATAGGGTTGTACTTTTTCATCAGAGAATTATAAAAAAAAGGGAAAAGTTTTTAAGCAAAATTTAAGTTTTATTTTTGATAGAAAGTTATAAAATGCATCGAAAGTTAGGAAATGTGTCAATGTTCAGAATATTCATGGAGTTGCAAGTAAGCATCTTGATAGAAAATACATAATACAACATGAGGTTGCATTTTCAGAAACTCATAAAATTTAAATATCTTATAGGGTTGAAGCAGAGAAAAAAGTAGCAATCTAATAGAATAATAAGCAGTATTAAATTAATTAATATTGAGTTAATTTACAAGTAATTTTATTAAGGTTTAAATAATTGTGGATAAAATAAGTGATCGAAAAATTTTAATTATTGGTTAAATTTAATTATTTAATTATAGGTTGTTGGAAAATTAAAATATTAGCATACATTTCTGACAAAACCTTAGATAAAAACTTTGAATAATGCAATAAATGAATAAATAAATTAAAAAAAGAAGAAAATAAAAGTAAATTAATGAAACTTTTTTTCTATGCTGCTGAGTAGTTTCCAAAAGACGCTGAAAATTTTTGTTAAGTTTTATTATAAAAGAAAAAAAAAAATTAATAGAAAAATAGAATAATGCGATTTTTATAATTTATAACAAAACCAATGCTATTCATTGCAATAACTATTGCATTTCAAAGGCAGCATATTATTCAATACTCTAATTTCGAGAAGTACAATAAGAGCAATTATCAGCATTATTTTATAGTAACTACTCACATAGAGAGGGGAGGGGGAACTGTGAACTTGGAAATAATTCGCTAAAGCAAAATATTTAAATGGTCGATATAGTAAAATTAGGGATTGAACCAATCTAGCGGTCAATGAATGAAAACGAGTGCTATTCAATCGCCTATTTATTGACAGCAACACAGTGTATCTAATTTTCGTTTGAAATGCCATTTATAATTACAATGTAGTAAGCAAGGTCTTTTAGAATAGATTATATTTCATTTAATTTCTCATTCCAGCAAAAGTTTTTAAATAATTATTTATGGTTTTTTAAAAACGTTTACAGCTTTGTGTTTTGTGATGTGTTACTCGTTCTGTCAGACTTATAAGAAACGTATTTCTACAAGATGGCTTTTTTTGTGAAAAAACTATTAGCAAAGATGCCATGAAACCAGTCAAATAAGCAGGCGAAATTGTCAAAATAAAACTAGTAACTGGCAATTTTTTATCTTTGTTTCCGTCAGTTTTTATAGAGGGGGCCGATCAGAGAATTAAAAAATTTTTGGGGGTCGATGATCAAAAAAGCTTGTAGGCACCCGTATTTATTTGGTAATTACACTTTAAATATTCCCTGAATTTGAGAAATTTTTTTACATCTGTTAGAAATACTTAATTTCTTACGATAGAATTTACGTCAAAAAGTTTAAATTATTGATTTAGATTTTTATAAATATCTATCATTCCTATTTTTTTTATAATTAAATTGTTTCTTTTTCTCCTTCTTTTTTAGGCCCTCTACTCTAAGTATTCAGGAGCACCTATGGACGAGTAAACTCTGGATATTCACACTCTTTTACACGGTGTGTGGATTACTGTAATTTCTCTCGTGTGTGGATTCACGGTGTGTGGATTTCACGGTGTGTGGATTACTGTAATTATAATAATTAAAAACTCGCTTTTAGAAAATATAGAAATTTAAATTTATCAGGCTATGTAATCCTACTAATATAAAAATAATAAGTAATATTATGAAGTTTTTAATTGCATGTGCTAATTTTTGATAATTTAATATAGTCCATTTATAAAGAGTGTGTGCGACTTATAATGTTTAGCAACGTGCTCAAGCAATTTTGTACCCAACCCAGAAAACCAGGGAACTCTAAGTTCAAGCATTGGAAGAAATTCGGCCTCATGGAGGAGAGCAAGTTCTTTTTTTTACCGGGAACTTTTATTTGAATTATGCATGGCAAAGAATATATGAAACTACGGTTACCTGGAAAACAAGGAGATAAACCACAATCCAGGAAACGTGAAATATAATAAGATTATACGGTACAGGGCTATGACCCCAACTCCTATTCTGATGCTCGTAAAATACATATGATATTTTTTATAACCATTATTTAACAGCCGGCCCCAAATTTTGAGTTTATGGCTACTAATGTTCAACTTCATAGTCCTGTAATTTTAAATCCAATTCAGAAGACAAGGAAACTCCTGGCACAAGTATTGGGTGAAATTTGCCATCATCGAGGACTTTTTGAGGGAACTAATTTGCATTCACGTTACATGGACAGGAAAAATCACGAAAACCTCCCACGGTTAGCCTGACGGTAAGGGGACTCTAACCCATATCCGTCTACCACTGGGGAATATTTCTACGTCAAAATTTCGTAAGTTTTTTACGAGCCACCGTGACTTAAAGTTGTTTTTAGGCAAAATTTGATTTTAACGTTAATTTCAAATTGCTTAAAATAATGAATTAATAATATGGGTGTGGCGGATGAATTAATAATGCGTATTAATACAAATAATATTTTGGAAATAATAAATTATTATCATTATAATTATATTTGTGGATTTGTTTCTTCCGCGGTAGCAAAAAGCTTTGCGTAAATAAACACGTTTAGCTAAATAAATATTTTGACATTCAAAATCAGCAAACGATTACTAAAATATAAATAGCAAGACTTAAGAAAATATCTTTGTGATTTATAATGAAACCATACAGTTTCATGATGGGCTTTCTTTGATAACTTTTTTATTAATTCATTAATAATTTTTGTATGTTTTGTACGGCCTCGTCAGACTTGAAGTTATTTAGAGGTTAATTTGATATCAACGTTAATGTCTTATTGCTTAAAACATTAAATCGATAATATGGCTATATTAGGGGAATTCGGGAATTAATAATGCGTGCAAATCAATGAGTTAATAAATACTAATATGGTGAAAAAAAATATTTGTTACATTCCGCATATCATAATAGATGAAATAAAATACTTTTAGTGAATTTTTTTCGCTTTTCGAACTTAAGATTACTTTAAGAAAATGAAAAAAAAGACATGAAGATCAAATTTTTTTGTGTGGATATGATTACTTTATTAGTATTTTTAAATTGATCCTTAATTTAAATTAAATTTCTTCTAGACAAAAGGGATCGATCGTACTTCGCAAACATTTTCCTCCATTAAGTTTTAAAATAGTAATCACAGCGAATTACGTAAAATGTAATAGCGACTTTATTTCTTTTTTGAAATTTACTTTCGATACGAAATTATAATAATCCTAAATTATTTCGTGGATAAAGTGAAATTTTTGTCAGCTTTTTGCACTGTTCACCAAAAATATCAGAATATCTATTAATTTTAACCATCAAGTTTTGGTTCGAATAGACTCAATAGACTCCTATCACTACCTTAGGATCTTTCTAGGTAGCAAACTTCGGTGAGGGAAAACTAGCTGAGGAGCTGGCGCGAAAAGCCGCCAACAGAATAAAACTTTTAGAAAAACTTTTTGGTATTAACTGGGACTCCTCTGTTGATACATTATCCACTACATATAAGGGCTATGAGCCGTGGTGGCTCAGGGGATAGAGCGTTCTCCTTCCAATGAGGTAAACCGGGTTCGAATCCCAGCGATGGTTGGTCGATACGAATTCCGCACCCAGCTCTCACTGACCACAGTGCTAACGTAAAATATCCTCAGTAGTAGACGGATCGTGGGTTGGAGTTCCCTTGCCATCAGGCCATGCAACCATGGGAGGTTTTTGTGGTTTTCCTTTCTATGTAATGCAAACCAGGGTTAGTTCCATCAAAAATCCTTCCCAAAAGCAAATTTCTGACAATTTCTCCTGGCTTTTGGATTCGGTTCAAAATTACTAGGCTACGGAGGTTAACATTAGTAGACGTAAACTCAAAATTGGGTCGGTTGTTCACCGACGGTTATCAATATATAGAAAAGTAGAATAATGCGATTTT